CTCTACTTTTTTCCAGGCATCCTGTCCCATTTTGAGACATAGCTAATCATTGGGAATTTTCTTCTTAGGTTACACATACCTTCTTACAAATTCTACCCTTTGTCCTCATCCTGCCATGCTGGGCCAAGTAGAACTGGTCCAATCCTTACCTATGACAAACCTTCAAATCCTGATTAGAGAAGAGAGGCAAATTTGTAATACAGTTTAGAAAATTTTCATCCAGAACTTGGTCAAATGATTGAAATTAGAAAGTTTTGAAGCTTAAAGCTCTCCAGAAAATTCTACTATCTAGAATGACCTAGTGCTCAAGTTTCTGATTAGTTGAGGCCTTATTTAGATTATAGCAAGTTACTATTTTGTAAAGTCATTGTGAGGATCACTATGTGATTGTAAGGATCATTTTGTTTGGATTTATACAAGTCACTTAACCTCTACCTGTCTGTTTCCTCACCTGTAAAATGAGTTTAACAATAGCTCCTACCTGTGTCATATCACGCTGATGATTCATATTGAATTTGCAGTCCACTAAAACCCCCAGATATTTTTAGACAAAGTCCAACTTTGATGTCTATCCTTGTCGTCGTCCCCCCCCCCCGGTCTTTTACTTGTCAGGTTAATTTTTCTTTTTTTTTTTTTTTTTTGCTAGGCAGTGGGGTTAAGTGACTTGCCTAGGGTCACACGGCTAGTATCAGGTGTCTGAGGCCAGATTTGAACTCAGGTCCTCCTAACACCAGGGCCAGTGCTCTATCCACTGTGCCACCTAGCTGCCCTGTGAGGTTGATTTTTCAAACCTATGTATAAGACTTTACATTTATCCCTAGTAAATTTTATCCGATTAGATTTGGCTTAACACTCTAGGGTGCCAACTACTTTTTGAACCCTACCTCTCTCATTCTGTGTTCCTCCCAGCTTTGTGTTATCTACAAACCTGATAGGTTTGCCTTCTATCCCTTATCCAAGGCACTGATAACAATGTTAAAATTTTCTGGGCCCTAGCACAGCTCCCTAGGCCTTCTCCTAGACAAACTACTTCATTCCCAGTGGACGTGAACAACTACTCTGAATCCTGTACCATCATCTGCCCCGTTGTTTCCATTGAGTGGCATGAAACTTGGGTGAATGTCCCGCTACAATCTAGGAAAACTATTTATCTTACCTTGATCTACCAGTCTAATAACCTTGTCAGAACAAGGAAATTACCTTAGTCTGACATAACTGGTTTTTGATGAAAACATGCCAGTGAATGTTGCTTCTCACAATCTTGACTTTTTCCAGGAATCCAAGGCAAACTCATTGACCTTAGTTCTCAGGGTCCATTTTTGTCTGTCTTCTAAGAATCGGGACATTTTTCCTTTTCTAGACCAGTGACACCTCTTGTATTCTCTACAGTTTTTCAGAGATAACGGTCACGATTCAGCCAACATGTCCACCAGATATTTCCATGTGGGTCAGTGGAATTCATCTGGGCCCAGTGACTTAGACGCCTTAAAGGCAACTGGACATTTTCTTACTCGCTCACTATTTGTCTTGGATTTCAATTCCTTCTTAGCCATTTTTGTTCTTTTTAGCCCAAAGATAATTTTTTTGGTCAGAAAAAAAATCCAAGCAAAATAAAAGTTGGACAGCTTCACTTTCACTTAGATTGTTATCATCATGATTAGATGAATAAAAATTTTAAAAAGTTTTGGTGCTTACAGTAATGAATCCTCAGCTTTCAGGAAATTTTGCTTAGTCACAGTGACTTAGTCTCTAAGGTTCTGTTTAGCTAAGGACAGAGACTGTTGCATTTTGGTCCTGATCCAGTGTCTGGCACCCAGTAGGTGCTTAATAAATGTTTGTTGATTGCTCATTCCATCTGCCCTAGTCCACATTCCCACTCCGTCTTGCATTGTGAATACGGCTAAACAAAATCCCAAGTGTTTTTGTTGTCTTTAGTTTGTTGACCTGTCTTAGCTGTTTCTGTGCTTGAGCTCACATGTATACATGGGAAGATAGTTACAAAGAGTTTTGGGACTCTCCAAGCGCATCAATAGGCAAAGAATTCTTCCCCTTCTCTCCCCCTCCCCCTCCCGTTCCAATAGCATATGTTTGCATGGCATCCTGGAATCTTTCACAACCTGAAACTACAAGTATCCTTTGTTGCTAAATCTTGCTGTGGTCTTACTGGCAGCCTTGTGGGGTAGAGAGGGTGATTGCAGGCAAAGAAGGGAAGACCCGGGTTCTCAGAAACTCCCAGGTCTTCGGTGCTCTCCCAGATTTTCCTTGCCCACCTTCCCAAAGAGATTAAAGCATTTCTGTTGGAGACTTGCAAATATGAAAAGCTTTCTAGGGAAGGCTGTGTTCAATAGAATATGCAAGTGATTTTGAAGTGATATAATCAGGGCTTTGGTCACAAAGAATTTCTATTCTCATTCCTACTAATTCAGTTAGATTGAGTACCTTCTATATGAGAAGCTTTGTCCTAGACCAGGTTACAGAGAAACAGTGCCCTCCGTAGAGCTTCTCTACTAATGGGGTGGCAGGTTAAAACTAGAACCGTCAGTCCAGGTAGTGCAGAGGAAGGGTTACTAGCAACTGGGGACATTCATTCATTCATTTATAAAATCATTCAACAAATACTTACTGAGGGCCTACTAAGTGCCAGGCAATATGCTAGACATACAAAACGATACACAGATGAAAAATGAAACAGTCTGCCCTCAAACCACTTATATTCTCAAAGGAAGGGGACGTATACTAATTAGTATATATAATGTATAAGGGGATATGTGCTAATTAGTGACTACAAACTATATCTAAGTGCCAGGCTTTTAGGTGTATGGGGGTGGGTGGAGGCTCTAATAGGTGGGAGGACAAGGAAAACTTTTCTGGAGGAGGTGGGCCTTAAAGCTTGATGTAGGAGGAAGCTCGGAATTCTAGGAGGGAAGGCATTTCAGTCATGGCAGGCAGGAAGTGCATACAAGGCACGGAGTTGGGATAGGATGTGGAATATGAGGAACATATCAGGAATGTAGAGTATGTAAGGAGAAATGATACACCACTAGGGAGTGATAAGTTGGGAGCCAGATTATGAAGGGCATTAATGAAACAGAAAGGTTTTATCTGATGCTACTGGCCATAGGGAGCCCCTGAAGCTTCTTGAACAGGCAGGTGATACAGTCAAGCCTGTGGTTTAGGAACATCAGTTGCTGTGTGGAGGGTGATTGAGGAGGAGAGAGATCGGAGACAGGCAGATCAGTTAGGGGGCTATTACAGTCATCCAGGTGAGAAGTGATGAAAGCCAAGGCTAGGTTATGGTGTCTGGGAAGGAAAGAAGGATCTGGAAGCAAAGGATGTAGATGGTGTAGAAATGATAATGCCGGTCAGCTGAGTGGCTGTGGGAGGCTAGAAAGGGACAAGTAGAGGATGATGACAAGCTTGTGAAGCTGAGTGACTGCAAATATGATGGTGGCCTTGACAGAAATGGGACAGTTAAGCAGTGGGGACAAAGAGAATGAGTTTGGTTTTGAGCATGTTGAAGTTGAGATGCTGATGGAGTATCTAATGAGATTGGTCTAATAGGCATTTGGTGATGCAGTCCTCTGGAGTCCTCCTGGAGTCCTCTGGAGAGAGGCTGGGGGATGAATATCTATATCTGGAAGTGATCTGGATAGAGGTGATAACTGAACCCATGGCGGCTGATGAGATCACCAAGAGAAAGGGCATAGAAAAAGAAGAGGGCTCAGCACAGAGCCTTGGGGTCATCTGCCCATTGTGAGGGCGGGGGCAGAGATGCCACACAGCAAGGAGACTGAGGAGTGGCCTGACAGAGAGGGACAAACCAGGAGAGATCGATGTCATGAAAACATAGGGAGGAAAAAGGACCTCGGGGGGGGGTGGTCAATAATGTCAAATGTGCCAGAAACAGTCTATGACAATAATAACATATTGCTAGCATTCATGTAGTGCTTTCATGTTTGTAAACCACTTTACAGATACTACCTCATTTGATCCTCACCATAACCCTGGGAGGTCATTGCTATTATTATCATTTTACAGCTGAGGAAACGGAGGCAGAGGTTAAGTGACTTACCCAGGATCACATAGCTAGTAAGTGTCTGAGGCAGATTTGAATTCTGGTCTTCCCATTTCCAAGTGCAGTACTCTATTTACTAGAGGTCAAGAAGAATGGAGACTGAGAAAAGACCATCATCAAATTTAGCTCTGAAGAGATCATTGGTAACTTTGGAGAAAACAGTTTCAGTTTATTGATGAGGTTGGATGCCAGCATGGTTATGCGAGTGAGAGCTAGTTCTAGAAATGTGGTCAGGAAAGGAAGTCGAGATGTAGGATGCTAGTGAGGAGGATAGTTGGGCCAGGAGAAGGATTTTTAAAGTACAAAGAAGACCTGGGCTTGTTTGTAGACAACATGGGAAAGAATCAGTAGTAACTAATATTCAAATCATGTTTCTGATGCTAGCTAGGTGTGGGACAGTGGGGATAAGGTCACTTAATTAATGTCTTCTAGTCTCTGGGTCATTATCTGTAAAATGGAGATGAAGATACGAGTCAAACTAACCTCTTAGGGTTGCTCTGGAGTTCAAAGGAAATAATGCAAATTACTTTATAACCTTTAAAAGATATGTAAATGTAAAATGGGAAAGATGATACCTCTTACCTTATCTGAACAACTCAAATTTTTCAGAAGCCCTATTTGACATGGACTTCTCTTAGAACATTTTCTTGACTTGATCCAGAAAATCAAAATGAAGCCTGTCTGAACAGTAGGTTGTCTCTAAGCTTTACTAGCCTGTTGGGCTGTTAATACAATCTCAGTTTTAATCAGTATAAATTGCACAACATTTTTTTTTAAATTAAAAGAATAGGAAAGAAACCTTCATTATGTTTCTGTTATTGGGACGTGGTCTGAGTGTATTTGCATTTGTTTGACTGCTGGTACCTTTAGCCAGATCCTAACTTGGGACCAACTAGAATCAGGCATAATTGTTATTATGTCTTAGGTGAAGAAACAGATATTGGACGAAGAAATCTATTGTTCTCCGGAGGTCACTGTTTTGTTGGCTTCATATGCTGTCCAGGCTAAGGTGAGTGTGCAGAACTGATGTCTTTATTTTTAGTTTGTTTTTTTTTAGTTTAAGCTTAATGTCAGTGAAAAGTTGAATATTGCTTTTTACTGGGTATAAAAAAACCACACACACCCACTGAATGTTTACTCTAAAGAAACATGGTAATTATGTAAATAACCTACTTGAGGAGGATGAAATACATTCAGTCAGTTCAGGTCTTTTTTTTTTTTCAGTTATGTCTGACTTTTTATGCCTGCATTTAAGGTTTACTAGGCAAAGATGCTAGAATGGGTTGCCATTTCCTTCTTTGGCTCATTTTGCAGATGAGAAAACAGAGGCAGATGGGATTAAGTGACTTGCCTACGGTCACACAGCCAGTAAGTATTTGAGGTTGGATTTGAACTCAAGAAGATGAATCTTTCAGGACTCCAAGACTGGCGCTCTATGCACTATGGCGCCACCTAGTTGCCCTTCAAATATCTTCAGGGCTGTCATAGAAAGGTAGGGTTGGAATACAGTTATCCTTTCCACATCAGGACTTTCCCCATCAAGTTACTATATATTGCTGGTCAGCATAAGAAATAAAATGGGAATTTTTGGGGAGTTTTGTGGGAGCTGCAGACGACATGTGAAGGCCAGCAGATGACACAGAAAAAGTATAGAAACTCAAAAATGCATTTACACTATGTTTAATAGGAATGTAAATGTATAGCCTATGTGAGATTGTGCGCCATCTTGGGGAGGGTGGTGCAGAGGAAGGGGGAGAAAAATTTTAAACTCAAAAGCATATGGAAGTGATTGTTGATAAATCAAAATAAATTAATAAAAACTTTTTAAAAATGCATTTACACATACACACATAAAATCGTATATCAACATGTTTTATCTTTTCATATCATAATAATTCAGACTTCTCTGGTACAAAAAGAGGGTCAAAAATTTTACAGGAATTATTTAGCTCGCAGGGGTGCTGCGCCCCTAACACCCCCCTCCCCCCATGTGGAAAGGGTAGCTGTAGTGGATTAGAGAGCTGGTCTTGGAACCAGGAAGATCGGGGTTCGAGTTCCCCCTCTGACGCTCACTGGCCATGGGACCCTGAGCCAGTCACTTAATCTCTTGTGCCTTCTATGCAGCTCCTAAGTCTGAGCTGTGGAGAAGGTGCCGACCTGCACTGGTAAAGTGAGTCTCCTCCCCTGGGGAGCTCTCTACACCAGTGAAATCCCAGGTCCCTGTTTCTACCTTGACTGTACAGGAGGCAGTTCTTCGGCTCTTGGAGCTTCAGAAAGAGATTGCCAGCTCTAGGATTAAATGTCTTGAGTCTGGTAGATAGCGCTTTGTAGCAGTTTTGTGAAGGAACATTTGGTAAAATAATAATAATAATAATAATAATAATAACAACAACAACAACAACGGCATGTTAACCTAGTGCTTTACAAATATTATCTCACATGATCTTCACAGCATCCCTGAGAAGTAGATGCTTTTATGGTCCCCATTTTACAGAATAGGAATCGGAGGCAAACAGGTAAAATGACTTGCCCCGGGTCACACAGCTAGTACATGTCTGAGGTCCTGTTTCTTCCTGACTCCAGGTCTAGCGCTCTGTTCACTGCTGCTTAGCTGCTTCATTTCTACCGAGTTGTTCAACTTTAAATTCCGGGTCTCTCAGCAACATTTGGCCCAAAGGGGACTCCCCTTCAGCGTATCACCACCTGGTCTCAGTCGTCATCACCTTAGGTGCTCTGGGGCAGCCGTGGAGTAGAGGCCGCCTGGGCGGTCCTCAGGCCTTTGCCTCAGCCTTTATCCCTGCAGAGCCTGGATTATTGTGGCAGCCCTTCATAGCCTAGCCCCCTCCCACCTTTGCAGTCTTCTTGCACTTTCTGTTCCCAGGCCTGCTCTTCAGTCCAGGGACACTGGCCTTCTGGCGACACGCTGTCAGGCAGTGAGATGGTGAACTAAACAGAAGAATGGACTGCAGCCAGGAGGACCTGGAGGTCAGCTCTTTTTCTCAGATACTTCACTAGCTGTGTGACCCTGGGCGAGTCACGTAACCTCTGTTTGCCTCAGTCTTCTCATCTGTAAAATGGGGATACCGATAGCACCTACCTTCCAGGGTCGTTGTGAGGATCAGATGAGCTAGTAATTGTGAAGTGCTTAGCGTGGTGCCTGGCCCAGAGTAGGGGCTATACAATTGTTCATGGTTTTTATTATCTCAGAGCTCTGGGAATTTCCTCTGCCTGTCCCCCTTGCCGGGAGTGTTCTCTGTTCTCAGCTCTGTCTGCTGACTTCCTTGGCTTCTTGAAAGCCTCAGTTACAATCCCAGTCTTTTATAGGAAGCCTTCCCCAGCCCTGATTGGTTCCAGTACCTTCCCTCTGCTAATCATCTCCCACTTGTCCTGCATAGAGCTTGTGTGCACACCTTTGACTACGTGTAGTCTGCCTCCTTAGATTGTAGGCTCCTTTTGCCTTTTTTGTGTCCCAGCACTTAGCACGGTGCCTGCCCACATAATGGGTCTTTCACAGATGTTTACTGATTGATCCTCAAGCTAAATGGAGTCTTGCTTCTATTTCAGTATGGTGACTATGACCCTAACTTTCACAAGCCAGGCTTCCTAGCCCAGGACGAGCTGTTGCCCAAAAGAGTGAGTATCGAGAAGGTTTCTTACATTTCTCACGCTTTTGAATTCTGCCCACTTTGAGGCTAAGAGATGCCAAGAGGCATTCCTAAGGAGGGGAGGGGATTCCCTTAATTTTACTGACCTCTGTGCTCTCCTTCCAATCCTTCAAAGCCTCTTGAAATTCCCACTTCCTCTGTGAAGCTTTTCCCACCTGCTCCAGCCAATACTGATTTTTCTCTCTTCTGACTTTTAAGAGGACTCATTTTCTGACCTCTATGTTTTGTCATTCAGTGGTATTTAATTTTGTACTTTAGTACAGAGGCTCTTAACGTGGGGTCCATGTACCCTCAAGAGTCTGTGGATAGATTTCAGGGCCTGTGAACTTGTAACTTTAAACATTTTTATAACTTCATTTCAGCAAAATCACTTTCTTTTGTAATTCTGTGTATTTATTTTATGGACTTAAAAACATGATTCTGTTGGGGCAGCTACATGGCACAGTGGCTAGAGCTCCAGCCTTGGAGTCAGGAGGATCTAAGTTCAAATCCAGCCTCAGACACTTGACACTTACTAGCTGTGTGACCTTGGGCAAATGACTTAACCCCGATTGCCCCACTAAAAAAAACAAAAAATAAACAAAAACATGATTCTGAGAAGGGATCTGTAGGCTTCACCAGACTGCCTGAAGATTCCATGATACAAAAAAGTTAAGAACCACTGCTTTAGCATATATTATTCTTTTTTTAAAATCTAAAAATTTTTTTTTATTAATTTATTTTGATTTATCAACAATCACTTCCATAAGCTTTTGAGTTTTAAATTTTTCTGTCCCTCTCTCTCTACTCATATATTGTTCTATATTTGCTACTTGGTCTAGTATTTTTTATTTAATAGTATTTTATTTTTTCCAGTTACATGTAAAGACAATTTTCAACAAATCCTGAGGACTTGGGGCTTTAAAGTGCAGTTGCTCATAAGCCCATACCCAGTGGCCCAGTGACTGTCAATTAGCCTTGGGAGTTAATTAGCTTTTCCAAAGGAGATGGTCTCCAAGGTGGTAATAGAGTTGGTACAAAACAAGTCTTCCCAAAAGGCTGGAACGCCATCTCCCACAAGTATGTACGGTGTCCAGGGGAACGTGGGCTTAGGCTTTGAGGCCTTCTGTGGCGAAGGGGTGACTCGTAGCTCTTGGCACTGGAAGTCCCTTTCCCTTTGTGGAGTCTTCCTCATGCTACTCTTTGGTGTTGTCTGCCGGGCTCTGCAAGTCACAGGCTTTCTTTAGTAGGTCTAGTTTTGACTCTCAGGGTGTTTTTCAGCTCCCGGTGCAGATACTGTCAGCGGTCACTGCTGCTTTGGGGACACTGTCACTGATGCTGGTGAGAAGTCCGAGTCTTCTGAACTTTTAAAGTTCGCTGGGTCATCCGTTGGTCAGTGTGGCAGGGGAGTGGAACCCCCTTCCCTCTGGCACAGGGGCAAAGATCAAAGGCCTCTCAAGGTGCTTCCAAGCCAGGAAGCTCTCAAAGCAATTGCTGGAATAATTGCTTCAGAACCACCTTACTGTATGATATATAGGCCCAGAGGTGTGCTTGATTCTTTCTTCCAATCCCAATACATTTCTTTTTGGTTGGACTTCATCCAATGGCTTAGAAGCATTTCCCTCTTCCCAAATTGATTAAAGATTTATTCATACCATGCTTATGCCTTTGATTGGTTGATCAGTTCGTTATGAGATGTATGGACCTTCTGTGTTTAATTGGGGTGGGGTGGACACAGTCTTAGACTCTCTTCCCAGTTTCTGCCATCCTCAGTCAGGTAGCTGGAGTGCTTTTGGCAAAGTGTGCATTAGGAAGGATGTTGACAAGCAGCACATGTCCAGGAGGGCACCTGGGTTGGCATGAGGATCAGTCAGAGGAGCTGAGGACTTTTAGTCTGGAAAAGAGACTTTGTGGGGCCTCCTACCTATCTTCAGACCTTTGAAGAGCTGTCGAGTGGAGAGGGCAGAGGCTGGTTCTGCTGAGGCCTAGGGGCAGAAGGAGAAGGGGGGGCACTTTGGGGAACTGGATTGGAGCACAAGGCTGACGTTGCAGAGCCTCAGAGCTATCTCCAAGTGAAGCAGTGTAGGCCTTGTCACTGGAGGCCTTTGTTCAGAGGTTCGACAGTGACTTGTGTGGGACGCTGGCCAGGAGGGCTCTCCTTACGTTTCCTCTGAGGGGTCTTCCAGCCCTAGCATTCTGTGGCTCTAGGCTACATGCTTTCCACCATGGACTGCGTGAGTGCCGTGTCACACGGAGGGACTAGGCTCTGGGGAGTGAAAGATGTGAATGGCAGGCAAAGCAGTGCGCCTTGTCTGGGTTTTGTGTGTGTGTGTGACTGCTGGCTGAGAAGGAGGCCAAAGGTCATCCTTTTGTTCGTTGTTGGTGAATCTCGTTGGCAGGTTTCTGTAAGTGTGGGAATCCTTTCCCCCACAGACACTGAGTGCATTGGTGGGCAAGTGTGACCCAGACTTATGTATAGACTGTAGTGTATTTATTATTCCTGTACTTGCTTTAATATATAATACCTGTTTTTTTTCTTTGCCTTATTGTTGAATAAATGATTATCTAATCATTTACTAAAAGTGTTATTATGGTAAATGGCTGATTTTGTGTAAATATGAGCACATCAGTGGAAATTTGAGAGCTGAAGGGGTGAAAAGGGGGAATATATTCTTCCATAACAGGGTTACCTCTAGGTATTTGAGAGAGTAGAAGCGTGGTCCTTTCCTGCAAACTCAGACCTGTTAGTGGGAGGGCAGGCTGGAGCGAGTAAGCCAGTCTAGGGTATCCATATAACCTGGCAGGGAGGCATGAGCTGCTGAAGTGGGTGACCACCCCTTACCCCCTCTTCTGTTACATCTAGTAAGGACCCAGCAGGGAATAGGGCATTTTTTTTTTACCTCTTAGGACTGTTGTGAGGGCCAAAAGAAAAAGCGTGCTCTGTGAGAGACAAATGCTAGCTCTTATTATGAATAAAACTATCCTGCAATGAAAATTACTCAGAGCAGTTGCTGTTGGGGCTGAGTAGAATAAGGATGAGGAGGAGGGTGATAAGGCTGAGAACGAAGATAATGATGAAGAGGAGGAGGAGGAAGATGGTGATGAAGAGGATAATCATGTGGAGGAGGAAGAGGAGTGGGCGAAAGAGGAGGAGAAATATAATTTGGAGGAGGAGGGTGAGAATGGGGATGAGGATAATTATAAGGAGGAGGATGAGGATGAGGAGGATGATAATATTTTCATCTTTACTTAGCAGAAGAAGCTTTTCCTCTTTTTTTTTTTTTTTTTTGGTGAGGCAATTGGGATTAAGTGACTTTTCCAGAGTCACACAGCTAGGAAATATTATGTGTCAGGCTGGATTTGAACTCGGGTCCTCCTGATTTCAGGGCCAGTGCTCTATCCACTGAAGCTTTTCCTTCTCAGAAGTCTCAGTTCTTCTTTTTCCTGGCAGGTCGTCAAGCAGTATCAGATGACAGTCCACATGTGGGAAGAAAAGATAACAGCCTGGTATGCAGAGCACAGGGGGATTGCCAGGTAGGGAAACACAACACACTTTAGAAGACCATGGGCATAATGCTGAACTGTTTGAAGCTATTGAAGTCAAGGCAAGGCAAGTAGCATTAATTAAGCACCTGTGGTGTTCCAGGCCCTGTGAAGACTATTTTTGGATTGGTTGCCTAGTGGTTTACAAAATGTGATTATCCTGGATCCTCAGTAAAATACTGTCATCAGGGTTTTTAAGAGCCCTGAGAGGACCCCTTCTTCGTGAGATAATATATATAAGGTGATTTGCATGTATAAATGCTAGCTATTGCTATTATCATTTATTGTATATTATTATTAATGATAGGTGACATGATGCTTAGCAGAGAGAGGTTTGCTAGTGGCTTCCTTTTTGGTCCTTCAATAGTATTGTGAAGTTAGAACTATATGGCATCTGTAGGATTCACCAGGAGTGAAACTCAGAGAGTCACTTGCTCATTGTCAAACACTAGCATTGCTAGGGCTAAGAAGAGCCCAGGTTTCTTTTCATTTTGAGTCCAGGACTCTCAACCACCCTGCTCAGGCTCGGGACCCCCTTAGCTCCTGCCAAATCTCATGTCATTGCACCTAGTGTTTTATTGAGGATTCCTTGTGTTGAGAATGCTCAGGGAAGATTATAACATCTTCTTAGCTGGGCAGAGAAGGAGGAAGACAGAATTGCACCTTCTTATGGAGGGGTGACTCATGTTTACATTGGCCCCCAGGGCTCACGTTCCCTAGACTGACCAACCTCCTGAGTGACTCATTCCAAGAACAAGTATTGGAGTGCTCAGGAAAACTAGCAGCCTGGGCATTTTAACAAAACCCTTATGCTCTCTGGTGTGATGCCTCACGTGCCCCATGACCAAGATCTCCCTGCTCACAATTTTAAGAATTAGAATATAACATCCAAATGAGATCATCATCTGTATAACATTTTAAGTTTTATAATGTGTATTACATGAGCCCACTTGAGCCATAAGTAGGTAGTTCAAGTATTATTATCCCCTTTTTAGAGATGAGAAAACTGAGGGGCAGAAGGTAAAGGAACCTGCCCAATTCTTCACCCAGCTAGTATGTGTAAGTGGCAGGATTTTCCTCATTCTGAGTCTAGCTCTCTATCTACCGTATCATGTCACCTCTCTGTTCTTGGGAAGGGCTTGAGGTGCCTGAGAAAGAGTATTGATAGGGTCAATTGAAGGGCAAGGATTCCACATCTCCATCATGGGAGAAACCCCGGGGTGGGGAGGAGAAGGGGGTGATAGGGGATGAGTTGGGAAGTAAAAGTTCTCCTAGTGAAGCTGCCCGTGTTACTCTTGTTCAGTCACACTCTCTTCTGAATAAACGTGTGTAAGGTGTGGCTGGAGGAACATCCCTAGGAGAACCAGTCCATGTACACACACCTCACAAGAGCTGTCCCTCCTGTACCAGTGTGTCTGCTCTGTTTCTTACTGATGCTAAGAGCCACATGGAAGGATTTAGTGAGCACTTGCAGAATTTTCTGGATATTGGAAAAGGATCTGGGAGAGAATGTTGGAGTGGTTTAGGGGAGGTGGCTCTTTCTCCTGGATGTGGGGAATGCTTCCACCTGAGGATTGGAGAAACAAATCCATCAGAAATTACTGTCAATTGTCAATTATTTTAGTTAAGATTTATTCATTCTCACTCATTCTTCTGTGCAATCATCTGTTTGTTCATCCATCCATCTGTTCAGTCATTCAACTAGTCTTTATTGTATGCTTGCTCTGTGTCCAGGACTGTGCTAGAAATTGGGAGAAGTACAAAAGAAATGTAAGACATTTTCCTTATCCTTTATGGTCTAGTTAGGAAAACCAGACACATCTACACAAAACCATCAAATAGCACATTGTATTACTATTACTGATATTTCTATTCTGTGGTTTCTGAAATGGAGCAACATGAGGGCCTCAGGATCATGCTATTCTTGTGAATCCTTACTTGAGAAGAGGCTCCTTTTGTTACTTATGGGATTCAGCCTCCTTGGATATTTATATGAAGCAGAGATTTGTTGTGCCTTTTCTCTAGAGTCGGTGAATCAACCAGCATTTATTGAATACTACAGAAAAAGTATTTTGCCAGCTCTCTTCTGGCAGAGACATGGGAGGCTGCCTGGCTGATGCTGGGGAAAGTAGGCTGGACCTGAAGTGAGGAGAGATGGGATTGGAATCCTCAGCTTGGTGCTTATTAGCTGTATGACCTTGAGGATGTAATTTACTTTTCCAAATCTCAATTGGTAATTAAAATGGGGGTAACAGTGCTTGTGCTAACTACCCTTCCTTTTCCTCTCAGATTCATAGGATCATAGATTTGGAGATGGAAGCGACATTGAAGGGCATTTAGTCCACAGTACTCTTTTTACGAATGAGGAAACTGAGGCTAAATGACTTGCCAGTGGTCACCACAGCTAGTATTTAAGGTGGGATGTGAACCCAGGTTTCTGGACTCCGAGCCCAGTGCTCCAAGGAAGACACTTTGTAAACCTTACATTGATATAGTGTTGTAGCTTATGAGCAGGAAGGGATTTCAGCGGTTAGAGTCTAATTCCCTTGTTTTACAGATGAGGAAATTGAGGCCTACCCAGAGGCTGGGTGACTTGCCTGAGATCACACAGAAGGAAGAAGTGGTAGAGACAGGGTCTGAAACCAGGTTCCCTGACTCCAAGTCCAGAGCTCCTTGCTGCTCTTCTGAAATAAGATACTAGATTCCCTTCATCTGTAATTATGGCAGTCGAAAGATGTAACAAGTTGTATTTACTTTTTTAAAACACCACTCAAACTAACTAGAAGCTGACTGAATTAAAAATATGATTAAATCGAGGTAGTATAAAAGGGTAGGTTTTTGAAATAAGGTGATAGAAGTAATGTCTTCCTATCTTAGATTTTTCCTGAACTTTGTGTTTGTTTCCCAGGGATGAAGCTGAGATGAACTATCTGAAAATTGCCCAAGATTTGGCAATGTATGGTGTCAATTATTTCTCCATTGAAGTAAGTAATGTTTGCTCTTAAATGGGTCAGGCCATTATCTTCAGTTCCAGACATTTCATAAAAGCTGATTTTTTTTCAGGGTTATTTTGGGATTACCAGTGAAACACATCTGGAGGTGGTTTCCAGATTACTGCCACTTTTTCATTTGCAGACCCTTTTCCATGCTAGAAAATGTCAAATACCCTGAGAACATGTTAGATAACCAAGTTTCGGGTCTTGGAATTCCTGAAACTCTCAGCCTGAATAAATTGACTAGAGTAATTTTTTATAAAAACTATAAAGATCTGGTCTATATTATACTTTCTAATCCTGAATCCAGAAAAAAAAAAGCTGGAGAATACAGCTGGAGCTGTATTCATGGAAATCCATTTAAGGTCTTATCTGAGACTTTATTAATGGTATAGGGTATATGACGCTAGCCACTGTTGTAACCTGAGTTAATAACTGAAAGAAAATTGTATAAACATGAATAGAGGCAGAGACCTAGGACTGGTGTGGGACTTCCTTTGAAGGAATTGTTTTATTTTAGTTAAGATTTTCAGTTTCTCTCTGAAAGTCTTCCACCTTAACACAGCATCAAGGAGGTCCTGCATTCCCAAAGCCTGTGCTGTAGGTCTGCAAGCTCTGGCAAGTTCAGCTGAATTGGGAAGGCTCTGAAAAGGAGTCCAGTGATTAGCTAATTATGGCTGCCATCAGAGGTTCTGCTTAATGAAATACAGAGAGGCTCATTACTGGAAAGGTGCCTGCCGGGGAAGCGGCTTCTTCATTAGCAGCCACTTTGACCAAAGGGTTTTTAGTCATCACTGTTGGCTGGAGTATGCCGCCAGTGAGGCCACAAAGAACCCATGGGGTTCAAGATTTCATTTTGTTTGTGGGAAGGAAAGTTAGTGAAAGGATGCTTTATTCTTTTTTTTTTTTAAATATAAATTTATTTATTTTTAGTTTTCAACATTCACTTCCACAAGTTTTTGAGTTCCAAATTTTCACCCCATCTCCCCCCTTCCCCCACCCCAAGATGGCATGCATTCTGAATATCCCTTCCCCTAGTCTGTCCTCTCTTCTATCTCTCTCCCCTTCTCTTATCCCTTTCCCCTTCTATTTTCCTGTAGGGCAGGATAGACTTCTATACCCCATTTCCTGTATTTCCTATTTCCCTGTATCATGTGAAAACACTTTTTTTTAAACATATGTTTTTAAAACTTTAGGTTTCAAATTTTCTCTCTTCCTCCCTCCCCACCCACCCTCATTGAAAAGGCAAGCAACTCAATACAGGTTGTACATGTGCAGTTATGCAAAACACGTCCATAGTAGACATGTTGTGAAAAACTAACTCTATTTCCCTTAATCCTATCCTGCCCTCCTATTTATTCTATTCTTTCTTTTGACCCTGTCCCTCCTCAGAAGTATTTACTTCTGATTACCCCCTTTCCCAATCTGCCTTTCTCTCTATCATCCCCCTGCTGTCTTGTCACCTTCTCCCCCTATTTTCCTGTAGGGTAAGACAGATTTCCATACCCAATTGAATGTGTATGTTATTCCCTCCTTAAGACAAATCCTATGAAGAATAAGATTCACTCATTCCCTCTCACCTTCCCCCGTTTCCCTTCCACTGTAAGAGACTTTTCTTTTCTGTTTTTTTTTGTGAGATAATTTACCCCATTCCACCTCTCCCTTTCTTCTTCTCCCAGTATCATCCTCTCTCATCCCTTAATTTTATTCTCCAGATATGACCCCTTAATCTTCAGCTCACTCTGTGCCCTCTATCTATCTATCTACATATACATACATATAATTTTTTTCCTCCAACTACCCTGATACTGACGAAGGTCTCATGAATTATAAATATCATCTTTCCATGCAGGAATGTAAACAGTTCAATCTTCATAAGTCTCTTATGATTTCTCTTTCCTGTTTACCTCTTCATGTTCCACTGGAGTCCTGTATTTGAAAGTCAAATTTCCTATTCAGCTCTGGTCTTTTCATCAAGAATCCTTGAAAGTCCTCTATTTCACTGAATGACCATTTTTTCCCCTGAAGGATTTATACTCAGTTTTGCTGGGTAGGTGATTCTTGGTTGTAATCCCATCTCCTTTGCCCAAGGATGCTTTATTCTTCACGCCCCCAATGACTGATCTCCATCTCCCCACTAAGCTGCTCCAGGGTTGAGGAGCTTGTGGCCTTCTAGGTCTTTGGGTTCGGCCTTTTGACAGAGTCCGAGTTTTACAGAACAAACTCTTTTAGTAAGAGCATTTGTTCTGTGAAGTTTGGATTCAGTCAAAGGGCCACACTTGAGGATCTATTTCAGTTTCTTCATCTGTAAAATGGGGAAAAAAGTCCTAGGGTTGTTGAGAAGAAAATATTTGTAAGAGCTGGCAATTTGTTATATTTGCATTGCCAATTTGTATTACAAAAAATTTGTAAAAATGCTGGCTATTATTATTATTGTATATTGTTATTATTATTATTGTTGTTGCTATAAATTATTAATGATCACCCGGTTGGTGATCATTCTTCTTTTAGCCTAAATTGGGTCTGGCATGGATCGTGTGAGTAGAGTTGCTATACATAACCATTATGAAGTCGCTAAATAGTCTGAAATGACTTTATTGTAATTTAATTCAGTTCAGTCCCACAAGCACTTATTACCTCTCTACTGTGTGCTAGCCATTGTGTTGAGCAGCACTGGGAATCCAAAGGCAAAAATGAAAACAGTCCCTGCCCTCCAGGAGCTTACGTTCTACTGGAGGTAAATGATGGGTACACAGATAAGTCCACACAGAGATGAGGACAAAGTAAACCGAGGCTTCTCTGAAGACTTCGATGCTGGTGACTGTCCCCTTCTCCTCTTTCTTGAGTGTCCGTACTGCTGCTGTCTCTTGGTTTTCCTTCCTGTGTGACTAAGCCTTCTCAGTCTCCTTTGCAGGGTCACCCTCTGTGTTTGTCTCTTCTGTGTAGGGATGCTCTAGCACTCTGCTGGATCTGCCTTCCTCTCTGCACATTCTCTTTCATTATCTCATCATCCCCCATGGATCTCTCTGCAGGTTACTCCCAGGTCTACATATTCAGATCTTATGTCTCTCCTGATCTTTAGTTCCACATCATTGACTGCCTCTGGATCTTGCCAGCTGGATGCCCCATAGGCATCTCACACTCGACATGTCCAAAACAGAATTCAGTGTTTCTCCCTAAACCCACTCCTCTTCCTAACTTCCCTGTTGAGGGTTCCACCATTCTCAGGGATGTAGCTTTGTAACCCAGGAATCATCCTTCATTCTTCTCTCATTCCCAGTTCCAATCATTTGTCAGATCGTATTGATTCTGCCTCCACAGCAGGTCTCATGTCTCTCCTCTTTTCCCTCTTACTTGACTATCACCCTAATTCAGACTATCACCCCCTCTCAAGTGGACTCATCACAACAGTCTGCTAGTTGGCTATTTTCCCTCTCTAATCCACCCTCTACACGGCCTCCACCAGGATGTTCGTCCAGCATAGGCCCTTACCTGCTCAAGAAGCTCCAGGGCTTCATCGGTGCCTTGAGGTGAAGACACAAGCTCCTCTTTTTGTCATGAGAGCCCTGGGTGATCTGCCCTCAGTATGTCTTTCCTGGATGGACTCTGGCAGGAGTTTCCCTCACGCACCGGACAACTCCCCGCAAACTGGCTTCCGCCATGTTCCCTTCACACCAGTGATGTCAAACACATGTAGAAATGGGGCCCTAAATCTGGGCATGAGGATCTCTGCTGGCCTCGGATAGACTGAGCTCTAAAATACAATAGTATTTATACTTGATTCTATTCTTACTTATGTTCTTAAATATGTCCCAGTTACCTTTCAGTTTGGTTTAGGTGTGTGCTGGACATCCCTGTTTGACCACACCCTCATCTCCTGCCTACATGTCTTTAACTCACAAAGACTGCCTCCTAACAGAGTAGTTGCTGTTAGCGCTCCCCTGAAATTGCTTTGCCATTAATTTGTGTATAGTTTGAATTTTCTTATACTTCTGCACACAAGAATTCCTCTCAGTAGAACGTAAACTCCTTGAGGTCAGGGGACTTTTTGGCTTTTCTCTTAATATCCTCAGAGTCTAGCCTTCTGCCTAGTGTATATAGTAGCTGCTTTATAAATGCTTGTTGAATGGAAGGGAACTAACTGGAAGATCCCTTGTAGGAGCTGACTCAAGGCTCAAAAGCTTTGAATAAAACTAAGGACTACTACTACTACCACCACCACCACCACTGCTACTACTACCACTACTACTACTACTGCTACTACCACTACTACCACCACCACCACCACTGCTACTACTACTACTACTACCACCACCACCACCACTGCTACTACCACTACTACCACCACCACCACCACTGCTACTACCACTACTACCACCACCACCACCACCACTGCTACTACCACTACTACCACCACCACCACCACACACCACCACCACTGCTACTACCACTACTACCACCACCACCACCACTGCTACTACCACTACTACCACCACCACCACCACTGCTACTACCACTACTACCACCACCACCACCACTGCTACTACCACTACTACCACCACCACCACCACTGCTACTACCATTACTACCACCACCACCACCACACACCACCACCACTGCTACTACTACTACCACCACTACCACCACTGCTACTACCACTACTACCACCACCACCACCACTGCTACTACTACTACTACTACCACCACCACCACCACTGCTACTACCACTACTACCACCACCACCACCACTGCTACTACCACTACTACCACCACCACCACCACCACTGCTACTACCACTACTACCACCACCACACACCACCACCACTGCTACTACTACTACCACCACTACCACCACTGCTACTACCACTACTACCACCACTACCACCACTGCTACTACTACTACTACTACTACTACTACTAGTACTACTACCACCACCACCACCACTACCACTACCACTACTGCTACTACCATCATTATTACCACTACTTTTATTACTACCACCTTGTGTTTACATAGGACGTTGTGTTTTTCAGAATTCTCTCAGATGTAATATTTTGATTAATCCTTCTAAGCACACGGTGAGGTAGGGAGGTTGGGCAGATGGGATTATGATCATTTAAGGAAGAAGATACGGGTCTTCAGAAAGCTTAAATGACTTCTCCAAGGTCACACAGAACTAACAAATGGAGGAATGGGGCTTGAGCCCAGGTCTTGTGACTCGTTATTCAGTGCCCTTCTTCCTTTGCACGGGACCTCTTTTCTTTGGATGTAATGGTGCAATGGCCTGGACTCATGTCTCTTGCTCCAGAGGATTCACCAGTCCCAAGGGAATGGCCTCTGCCCACACTGGCATTCAGGGTTATTCCGTGTCGCTCTAGTGTCTCAGGGAGAGTCGGGAATGTTAACTGGTGTTTATTAAGGGAAGATTTGCCTTGAATGAAAGGACGTGTTGTTAACCTAGGCATGTTTCAGTCAAGCTGTACCTTCACAATGCTTCTCCTTGTCTAACAGACCATGCTTTGAAGTTGTTCAGCCTTTTGATTTCAGGGATCAGTAACAGTTTGGCTCATGATTCTCTGGCTTGTGAACCTGTTAACGTTTTCCCTGGCATCTGCCCCCACAGTTATGTCTGACATGTCAGGGCAGCTCCAGCATACCAGTAGGCTGGCTCACTTCCTGCCCAGTTTTAATCTAGGCAGGTACTGCTTCAGGGTACCAGCGTGCAAGCTGTTTTGTTCTCCTTGTAGCTTCATATAGCAGAACTCAAAAATCAGGGGCACATGTGGAGTTTTAGAAACCTCACCTTCTGCTATAGGAATATCAGTGTTGAATGCATGGAAGTAAGTCAACAAGCATTTATTTAGCACCTAATGTGTGCCAGGCAGGAAGCTAGGTGGCACAGTGGACAGAGGGCCAGGCCTGGAGTCAGGAAGTCTCAGCTTCCTGAGTTCAAATCTGGCCTCAGACACTTATTAGTTATGTGACTCTGAGCAAATCAGTTAACCCTGCTTGCTCTCAGTTTCCTCATCTGTCAAATGAGGTGGAGGAGGAAACAGCAAGGCACTCCAGTATCTTTGCCAAGAAAACCCCAAATGGGGTCACAGAGAGTCAGACATGACTGAAAAACGGCTGAACAAGAACAACAACAGTGTGCCAGGCACTGGGTTAAGCTCGGGGATACAAAGACAGGCAAAAATGGTTCCTGCCCTCAAGAGGTTCACATCTAACGGGAGAGACAACATGTAAAAAATGATGTACTTACAAGAGATATACAGGATAAACTGGAGGTAATCTCAGAGTCAATAATCAGTTATTAAGCACCTACTAAGTGCCAGGCATTGCGCTAAAGCCTGGAGGTACAGAAAAAGGCCAACATTATTTTAATTTTTTTTTAAGGCAATTGGGGTTAAGTGACTTGCCCAGGGTCACACAGCTAGTAAGTGTCAAGTGTTTGGTCTGAGGCCAGATTTGAACTCAGATACCCCTGACTTCAGGGCTGGTGCTCTATCCACTGTGCCACCTAGCTGCCCCCTTTAAAAAAATTTTAAATGTTTATTTTAAATTCCAAATTCTCTCCCTCCTCCATCCATTGAGAAAATAAGGGATAATGATATCGATTACACATATGAAGTCATGCAAAACATATTTCTACTTTAGCCATGTTATAAAAAAAGAATGCTAAATAAAGAAAAATGATATACTTCAGTCTGCACTCAGAGCTCATCACTTGTCTCTCTGGGGGTAGATAGCATTTTTCATCATGGGTCCTTTGGCATTGTCTTGGGTCATTGTCTTGATCAGAGGAGCTAAGTCTTTCACAGGTGATCATACTTACAACATTGCTGTTACTGTGCGCAGTGTTCTCCTCACTTCACTTTACATCAGTTCGTGTAAGCCTTCCCAGGTTTTTCTGAAACCATCTTGCTCATTATTTCTTACAGCACAGTAGTGCTCCATTACAATCATATGCTGCAACTTATTCAGCCATTGCCTAATTTATGGACATCCCTTCAATTTCCTATTCTTTTCCACCACAAAAAGAGCTGCCATAAAAATTTTGTAAGGTCCTTTTCCATTTTCTTGGATTTCTTTGGGGCACAGACCTTGGAGTGACATTGCTGGGTATTATAGCCCTTTGGCTATAAAAATTTTAAATTGTTCTCCAGAGTGGTTGGACCAGTTCACAGTTCCACCAACAATGCATTGGTGTCCCTGTTTTTCCACATCCTCTCTAGCATTTGACATTTTCCTTTTCGGTCACATTAGCCGGTCTCATAGGCGTGAGGTGCTGTCAAAGAGCTTACATTCTCATGGGGAAGATACCATACAAACAACCATGTACAGACAAGGTGGATACTGGGTGTATTAGAAGTCACTCTAATGTTGATTTCTTTGCCGTAGCAGATTGTCTTTTTAACCCCTACACTCTGCATTTGGTTCTTTTGCAGCAAAATAAAAGCCACACAGATCTCTTGCTTGGTGTAGATGCTAAAGGGATCCATGTCTACAGCGTCAATAACCGGTTCTCTCCAAACAAATCTTTTGAGTGGAGCGCAATCAGAAACATTTCCTACAGTGAGAAGGAGGTGAGTGGGGAAGACTGGGCCTTCCATGCTTTGTGACAGTGTGGCAGCCTGTTTGGGCCCTGAGAGGAGAGAAAATTAGTCATTCTTATTTAGAGGGGCATGCAAAAAAAAAAAGGGAGGGAAAATAACCTAAGGAAAGACACAGAGCTTCCGAGGGACCCCAGCCTCTGCTGCCCCATCTCTGAGACAAGACCGATGATCATACTCTGCTTGTGCTGCCCGCTGGGGCAAGTCGTAACCCTTTCTTCGACATGTTTCCCATCAGAAGGCTTGAATGGAGATTTGGTAACAGGAGGCGGATTTACAAAGACCCACTTGGCTTCATGAGTCAGAACAAGGGGTTGGGAGCCAAGGTCGCCGATGGCAGTGAACAAAGGAAGTGGAGACCATGTTCTTTAAGCTCAAATATCACAGGGCAGGAGAGGGTGATGGGAGGGAGATGGCCTGAGGGAAAACCTGCTCAGAGCTGGGAGCCAAGTTCCCTGGATCCGAGCGATGGACTGGGGCCTGTCCTAGCAGGTTACATTTTCGGACACGGCAAATCAGGGCTTGGTTGGTTGTTTGGGGATTGTCTGGACTGAAGGAAGTGACGGAGAAAATATGTCCCATGCGGCCCCAAGCTGGTTGTTAAACGTTCACCAGCACACCATTGTAGATCTCTCTCTAACTCCTAGGAAGCTCCCTTATGGTGGGGCTCTCAGGTTGGCTTGCTGTTTCTGAATCTCCCCACTGTCTCTGCATTAATCTCAATTCTCAGCCTAACCAAGTGAAGCGTGGAAAACCAGATGTGGAACTGCAGTTCCCAACCCCACACGCTATGGGAGCCCCCAATCTTTGGGGAATGAGCGAATGAACTTTTCAGACCAGATACTGCTTTCGGCTTTTGTGTTTCTTCTGCTTATATTCACTTTCTCCTCTGGCTATGGTCGCATGCCTACTGGGTTGTTTGTGTGGCTAACAGCAGATGACGCTAACGCGTGGGAGCTCAGTGCTGTTCTCCACAATGTGCAGTTTCACGTTGGCACTTCTAGCTCCTGATGCGAGGTCCACCTGGGCCATACCCTTGGTAGCTGGTGTGGAAGGGCACCCACCTGGCCAGATGTGCCTGGTAACTCTCTTGTCATGGGGCCATGAGCCTCTGCTGTCCCTCCTCTTGGAGCCCCCTGGTCGGGATTGCCCCACAGAGAGCTCCGACCTTCTGAGGACCTCCTCACCTTCTTAATGACAGTGTTTTCCTCTCTCCACCAGTTAACAATTAAGCCTCTTGACAAAAAGGCAGAAGTTTTCAAGTTCTTTTCCTCACAGCTGAAGGTGAATAAGTTGGTAAGCAGTGACCCCGTTCATATCTTCTGTCAGTTACCCCATTTAAAAAAGAAAAAAAACCCAAACAAGCTGATGGGGTGAAGTCAGGAGGTCTGTTACTGATGTAGTTCGAGGAATGTTCTTTGTAGCAGTAGGGCAAGAAGAAGACGTGGAAGGTGTAAAGCACAGGCAAAGGAGAAACAAAATCACTCTTTCCTAATGTTTGCGTAGAGAGCCCTAAGAGTCAACAAAACAAATCAATTCAGCCCAAGGACCAAACCCTTCTGTCTGAATTCTAGGCCAGAAATGGAATTCTGCCTCTCTTCCCTGGTTTAGCCATGGTTTTTCTGTTTGCGTGAAGATAAACAATAATTGTTTGCTCATAGGGCTTAGGGACATGGAGTTTAAAAAGCATTGGAGACCCTCAGAAGCAGTAACGTGTTGGGGCATTATGTTTAAACCAGCCTATTCCCAAGCTGCGAGATCAGTTCAGCAACGTTCATGGTGGCCCCAGCACAGTTTTGACAAGATACTTTGCCACTGAGTGCTGACCCCTGTGCCTGTTCTCATTGCTGGCGGAGAGGCTGAGGATGGTAGCTTGTTTGAGCTTAGGAGTTCTGAGCCACAGGAGGGCTAACGCTGAGTGGGGATACCGCTAAGTGTGATGCCAGTACGGTGAGCCTCCTGGAGAAAGGGGCCACCAGGCCACCCACCTGCCCAAGGACGGATGAACCAGGTCAGAACTGGGCAGGTTGAACCTTGCTAATGAGCAGTGGGACCAGCCTGGTTGCTGGCCTTCCAGCCTAGGTCAGATGGGGAGATCTAGTGTCTGGGGGAAAAAAGAGAAAGAAAGAAAAATAATTGTATCCATAATGACCTTGAAAAGCTTTGGAGTGGTTGTGCCTTGGGCATGGCAACAATGTATGAAGTACTAAGTTGTGATGGAGTCCTTAGGTGGGGGAGCATGAGGCCAAAAAGGTGGAGGGCGAAAGGGAATGAAGGAAGAAATAGATGTCTGGGGGAGAACACAGCTGGTCACCTTCCCACTGACCACAGAGGGAGTGAATTGGATTACAGGATAATGGGAAATGGCCAACTGGCTGCAATTTCTTCCTATGGATTTCAGAACAGTCTTTTAGGAAATATTTAAGTGTCTACTTTGGCCAGGCAAGGGATACAGAGACCAAAGTGAAAGAATTTCCGCCCTCAATGAACTAACAGTCTGTTGGGGGGAAATGTTGTGAACAATGAGAAGTAAATAGAAACTAGAGACTGATTTCCAGGGGTGGGGATGGTGAGGCATTTGCAATAGGAGGAGGTCGTAGCTGGTCCCTGAGCTGAGCCTTGATTGAAGCTGGTTTCAGACTAGGTGGCCTTTGTGGGTTTGGGGGGAGGGAGTGTGGGGAGAGGTGGGGGATGGGGTCCTCTAGGTCCTCTTTCAGCTCTAGATTTATGGTCCCAGGTTCGTCTGAGTCTGATTCCACAAGGCAGAGGTAAGGAGGGACTATGTGTAGGCATGATATAGTCTGGGCAAATCATGGACATGGGAGGTGAAATGGCAATGGGGCATAGCAAGTAGCCCTGTGTGGCTGGTATGGAGAGTGCCCGAAGGAGAGTGATGGGCAGTGAGTTTAGAGAGGCCAAAGTGCTGTCAAGGGAGAATGACCTGTGCCTTCAGAATACCAGCATGGCAGCTGGGTGGAGGAGGAACTGAAGAGGCAGGGGATCAACTAGGCTGCTGCTGAACGGTCCGGGGGAGTGAAGAACACTTGCAGAGCAGTGAATCAGTGGAAACTCTTGTTTTGGTAGATCCTTCAGTTGTGTATTGGAAATCATGACCTATTCATGAAGAGGAGAAGAGTGGACTCCATTGAGATTCAGCAAATGAAAGCTCAAGCCAAAGAAGAGAAAGCTCGGAAGAAAGTGGGTGCATTTTTCATGGTTAGAAGTATGGGTTTCATTTCTGACAGCTGCTTCTCTAGAGGTTACCTTGGGGAGATGGGATGAGTCTTTTCAGGAGATCATCCCTGAAACGTTAACTCTTTCCATCTCAGAAACATGTCTAAGCTGCAGCTCACCCTGACGCTCACCCTGTCACCTGGCATTGCTCACTAAGACTTGAAGTGGCCTTTGGCCAAAAGAAATGGCCTGAGAGTGTCGGGGCCACAGGGTGACCGAAGGGTTGGTGGAGCTTGAGTGAGGATGCCCATGTGGCGAGTCTCCCAAATGCTCTCCCAGGCGCTCAGCTCTTAGGTTGGGAAGTGTGTTCTTTTCCCATCCTGCCTGTCGATTTCATCACTGTTCAAAGGCTACCCATCAGGTTCTTAATTGTAGGCACACACATGTGCAGTCATGGCAGACAGCTTACAAAATCCACCAAGCCTAGAGTTGCTTTTTTTTCCCCCCAAGGTGAGCTCTAATTCATTTTTCTTTTTTTAGCCTAGTTCCATTCCAGGAATAAAGGTGTGGGGAGATAGAGGTGGACATGGAATCTGCAGATGGCACATCTCCCTTCATTTCTTTTCCAGATGGAGCATCAGAGGCTAGCCAGGGAGAAGCAGCTCAGAGAGGAGGCCGAGAGAGCCAAAGATGAACTGGAAAGGCGTCTGTTTCAGCTGGAAGCCGAGGCCCGACAAGCCAATGAGGCCTTAGTGAGTATTCCTGTGAAGCACATGTGTTGCCAGGCCATTCTTTCCCTTCATTTTATAGGAAATTCAACACTGAGGGGCCTGAACTTGTCTGGCTTTGAAGGTTACCTGCCCATGGTTGAGAAAGCCTCCCTGGTTCAGCCTTCCCCTGTGATCTGCCATGTTGTTGTTGCTTTTCCCTTTGCCCTGGGCCCTTCCAGGCGCTAAGGCCAGTGCAATGCTTCCCCAGCTCCACTCCAAAGAGACAGCGGAGCTGCTGGCAGAGAAGGCACAGATTGCTGAGGAGGAAGCCAAGCTGCTTGCCCAGAATGCCGCGGAGGCTGAGCAGGAGCGCCAGCGGCTGGAGATCACGGCCCTGAAAACCAAGGAAGAGAAACGACTGATGGAGCAGAAAGTGAGGGAAGCGGAAAGGATCGCTGCCAAACTGGTGAAGGAATCAGATCTGAGGTGAGGGAGATGGGCCACGTAGGAGGCTGAGAGTCTGCATTTCATTGAGGGAAACATGTTCTCTCGGCCCAGCTGGGATTTGATTTCTGGCAGAAGTGGTGGTGGCCTCAGCCCCTGGGCCTGACGTCACAGTCACTGACATTTTTTATAGTGTGTGAAAGTTTCAAAGCACATTCTGCTTGTGCTCTTATTTCATCGTCATGACAGCACTGGGTAATAGGTATTACTAACTCCATTTGGCAGATGAAGACACTGGGGCCCGGGAAGTCTCAGAGGCTTGCCTGTGGTCACACATCAACAAGTGTCCGAGACAGGACTCAGTTTCCTCTAACTCCACGTCCAGAATGCTTTCCCCTATAGCACACTAAGAGCAACACGGGGTGGGTACAGAAGCACAGGCTTTTTGGCCGGCTCAGATACGCTGCATTTGCCAGAAAGTGCCTGTTCCAACTCATCTTGGTCTTAGGAAGTTGGCCAAGTTAATATTTGCAAAAAGTTTTGTAATGTACTGATAGAAATGATATAGCACATGTTCTGGGGCTCATCCTCCCAGCTCCCACAAGCTCCAGGAGGTTGGCTTGCCAGAGCGTGGCCACTTCTGAGGGTTCTAGGGGTCAGCCTGAGAGCTTGGCAGGGATGGGGGCGGTGGCAGTGGTTTTCTGGTTCTATAGCTCATGAGCCCCCATTGATGTACCACCACCATGGATTATCCAGTGATAGAAAATAGCCAGCCAAACTTAATTATCTCTTAGAAATGGGTATTTACTAAAGTAATATGGGAAGAACAATGTGTACAAATTCTTTACCCAAACAAGGGGCATGGTCTGCCATAGGTACATGTGGAGTCCAGGTGAGAGAGGGCTCCATCTTAGAACACATGTGACTAAGCTCCTGAAAGTCCTTTCTGTCTGATTTCCGGGAACCTCATGAAGATCCCCTTGGGCATGGCATAGTTTTCTGCTAGGCCTGAGGGTCAGGGCTCTTGCTGCCTTTATCCAGTGGGTTTAATTTGTCCAAAATTCCTGATGGAGACACTGCCATAAACTGCTGCTGTTCTGGTGTTGCTGCTGGGACGACGATGCAAAGTCCACCTCTTCCAGACTGTTTGGGGTTTGTGACATCTTCTTCTGGTCAAGGTGGGGAGATCCAGAGGCTCTTCTCTGCCCTCTTAGGGATTTCCTCTCAGAGTTGGCTGGGCTGCTCTTTAGTACACTCTGGTCTCTTGCTTGAATGTCTGGGTTCTTAACTGGGTTGCAATTCTGAATGATCCATAGGGTGTGACTGAAGATCTCTTCAGCCAATTCCAAAATACTTTGTGTGTAGCTTCCTCCATACTTCCTGTGTCTCACTTCATCCAGTGACTTTGATGCCTTCCAGATTAAGTACTTTTCACACCCAGTTTAATGCCTTTGGTTGACTGATTTACCAGGGATCCTGATGAAGCATTTAATTTAAGTGGAGTGAGGTGCTTGATTGATTCAGAAGAGTGGCACTGATGTTACTGTTCTCCTCTTGGGAAGAGAGCACTTGAGTTTTCAGGAAGGGGCTGAGCAGTCCCCCTTGTGGCCAGTGGCATTATTGGAGGGTTGGCTGGTTAGCATTATAGGTATAGCTTTTGGTTGAAGGGACTGAGGGAGCTTTTTGTGTGTATGCTGACTGATGTAAAGATTAAAATCATGATCTTGGTCGTAGTCTAACTAGCTAGGACAATACCTATTGTTACTCACTATGGCATTGTGGAAAGAGCAATGGATTTGCAGTTAGAGGATCTGGGTCCAAATCTGGGCTCTGCCACTTGCTACTACCTACTTGACATTGGGTATGTTGTTTCACATCTCAGGGCCTCAGTTTCCTAGTATGTCAAGTGTGTTTGTGGGTCTTTATGATCTTTGAAGTTCTTTGTTGCTCTAAAGTTCTATGATTTTTATTAACTGACATGGCTAGTATATTTTCATTTGAAATATTGATATACTTTAGTATTTTAATATGGTTTTATAAAATTTTAAAGATGAGTGGCATTTTCAGAAAGATTCAGTGGTCTACCACTGATTAGAAGAGACAAGATGGGTCTATTAGATCTTTGGGTGAGCAAAGCCCTGGAGAATGGATGAGGGTGGGATAATTAAAGAAACTGAAGAGCCCCTGAGGATGAAGGAGGGAGGCCTTGGGAAGTCAGTGATGCATTTGCTTTGTTTGAGGACAGTCCTCTAAGTGTGAATGCCTCCTGCCTTCTGACAGGCACGTTTATGGGATGGAAGCATGGCCTCTTTCCATAGCGCACACAGAGCTCAAAAGTGCAAAGACTGGGTCGTGTCCATCGGTTCACCTGGGGGATCTTTTGTCTAACAGAACCAAGGAAACTGAATACCTGAAACAAGACCTGAGTGAGGCCAGAGAAGCTGAGCACCGAGCAAAGCAGCGGCTCCTGGACGTCACCCAAGTCTCGCACCCTGTATGTTGACTCATCGGTACTTTATTGAGACGGTGGGCAGCAGTGTTTGATGAGAGGCAGAAAACGCAAGGGAATGTGATATCACACAAATGAGAACGAAAATGTCAGTTAATCAGTAAAATTTATTAATTGTCCACTATGTGCCAGGCACTGTGCTAAGTGCTGGGATACAAAAAGAGGCAAAAGACAGTCCCTGCCGTCAAGGAGCTTACAATTTAATCGGGGAGACAACATGCAAACAAGCACATACAAAACAAGCTGTATGCAGAATAAGTAGGAAATAATGAAAAGAAGGAAGGCCCTGGAATTGAGGGGGGCTGGGGAAGGCTTCATCGCCTCAAACAGTCATTTCACAAACTTGCCTGGGTGACCTTAATGATGTGTCATTTCATTCAGTTAGCGCGCATTCAAGACACTTCCCTGCACATCATACCAAGCACTCTGGGCAAAGTCAAAAATGCCGTTTTTGTCCTTAAGGAGCTCATTCTGTGGACAAACCTTAAAACACCATTTTATTCTCCCCGGGAAACTTGAGTCTACACCCCCCACATTCTCATTTCCCAAAGGAGGAGAGTGCTGGCTGGTGGATTGGGGCCCAGTTTGAGACTCTAGGCTCAGTGAATTTCCCCAGTTCTGCAGGTCATTCATGCTGGAATCTTAGCAAAATCACTAAATCTCTCCATGCCTTATTGAAGCTCTTTCTAAGCAGTGAAATGATGTTTCTAAAGCAGCTGATGTGTTCAGACTGAAGGCTCTAAGGGCATAAAACTCCTCTGATGGTGGAAAAGTAGAGCTGTTTTTCTTCTTTTCTAGCACACAAGCAGGTATCCTCAACCTTCTCCTGTTGTGTGTGGAGACCTTGGAGTTGAAAAAGGATGTACAAAGTTTGATTTAAGGGATGTCGACCTGAAGAGACTGTCCTTGGAGATAGAAAGGGAGAGGTAGGTACTGCCTCCGAGAATCCGAGGTAGCAAATACGTGTGTGTGCACATGTATGTGTGCATGTGTGTGTGTCTCTGGTGTTTGACATATACACACATGAACATATACAAACAATACACATGTATGTATATGTATATGTGTGTACACACACACACACACACACACACACACATACATATACATATGTTTATATAAAATGAGATGCTACCTGAACTTTCAAGGAGCTTTGTAGATTTTGGCAGAATCGATTCACAGTCCCCAAGGCCTCCCTGTTGCTCCTCGTGTTCAGCCTCTAAATTTGTATATCTTGGTTCTATGATTGGACGGCCTGTTTCTCTTTGTGTTTGTGCAAGGCAGCAGAGTAGAGAGAGTGGAAGCCCTGAAACCACTCCCCCTGACATTTAACCTTCATTCTTTAGGATGAGAGAGGATTCAGATGTCAGTGTCAGTTGGCATATATATTTGAATAACAAAGTTCTAGTTATTGAACTGTGGCACCTCTTTTGCTTTCTTCTAGAAGTGTCTGATAAAATCTAAAAATGAGAGTTCTTCCACAGGACAATGGAATCTCTTCTGTAGGGAGTTCACTAAATCATGATGAATCTTGATAAATGTTTGATAAATGTTTAGTCATTTCAGTGGTGTCCTACTCTTTGTGACCCATTTAGGGTTTTCTTGGCAAAGATACTGGAGTGGTTTGTCATTTCTTTCTCCAGATCATTTTGCAGATGAGGAAACTGAGGCAAACAGGGTGAAGCTTCCTCAGTTGAGTGAAGTGAAGGCCTGGAAACTCACCAGAGGAATGCAAAATTCACATCAGCAAGTTATCATTGTAGAAAACCTTGGCTATTTGCTCACCAAGCATTTATTATATGGCTACTGTATGCCAGGCTCTGGGTTAGATGCTGGAAATCCAGAGACAGAAAGGAAGAGAGTCATTGTCTTCAAGGGGCATCTGTTCTGATGGAGAAGATGCATCCACATAGACGAATATACAGAGGATCTTAGATTCAGAGCTCAAAGGGATGCTGGGCCATCCAGTCTGACCCTTGCATTTCACAGGTGAAGAACTGAGGTTGAGGTCAAGGGGTTCGCCTAGAATGACATAACTTGTAAGTGTTGGAGGCCTTCAAGCCCAACACTCTGTCCACTGTGCCCTGCTGATACTTGGTAGTTTGGAGGAATAGTGCTTCCTAGGTGCTGTGAGGGGAGAATCTGGAAAGACTTCATGGACAGGTGGCTCCTGAGCTGTGTTTCGAAGGAAAACGGGGATGCCAAGAGGTGGAAGGGAAGAGGGAGAGCGCCCCAGGCATCCCGGACGGCCTGAGCCAAGGTACTGAAGTGGCAGGAAGAGTGCCCTGGGCGCAGAACAGCAAATCTGCCAGTGTGGCAGGGTTTCTGTGTGCAAGGAAAGTGATTAACTAGAAGTCGACTGGACATGTAAGAAGGTGGCCACATTGTGAAGAGATTTAAATGTCAATTGGAGGAATTTATAGTTGATTCGGGAGGCAATGGGGACCCACTGCAGAGGGTGACATGATCAGGCATGTGCTTTAGGACAATCCCTTTGGTAGCTTGTGGAGGATGGATTTTAGTGGGGAGAGAAACGAAGCAGGGAAACTGAGGAAGAGTCTGTGGCCAGAGGTGATGAGAGGTTGAGTGAGGGTGGTGAATGTGGGAGTGAGGGGTGGGTTTTGGGGTTGGGGAGGTGCTGTAGGCTGGGCATGATCTAGTGCTTCAGGTTTTGAATTGGAACATTCATGTGCCACCCTAACAGTTGACACAGGAGGGTGATGAAGCTATGGCATGTGAAGGGCACTGAACCAGGACACAGAACTAGTCCAGGTGAGGGCAGCTTCCCTGACTCTGTGCTGGCTGTGCTGCCTGCCACTCTACCCTGATGGAAGGCCGCTTCTGTCTCCTCCTGGGCCACTGGGAATCTGCATCAACAGAGGGCAGTTTGTACTGTATTTTAAGTAATAATTAGCCTAGTGTCCATGGTAGATACTGCTCCTGCCCAAGGGGGAAAGGTGATGAATTCTGTTTTGGACGTGAGTTTGAGATGCTTATGGGACACCCAGTTAAAAATGTCCAATAGCCAGTCTGTGTTGTGGGACTGAAACTCAGGAGATAGGTCTGAATATATAGATTCAATTCAATAAACATTCAATTCAGTTAGCATTTATTAAGCTCCTACTGTGTGCCAGGCGTTCTCCTAAGCACTGAAATACAAAAAGAGGCAAAAGACAGTCCCTGCCCTCAAGGAGCTTACAGTTTAATGGGGGAGACAACATGCAAACAAACACAAAACAAGCCGTATACAGGATAAGTAGGAAATAATTCAAAGAAGGAAAGCCCTGGAATTAAGAGGGGCTGGGAAGGGCTTCCTGTAAAAGGTGGGATTTTAGTTGAGACCTAAAGGAAGCCAGGGAGGTCAGTAGGCAGCAGAGGAGGGAGAGTGTTGTTGGCATGAGGGACAGCCAGAGAAAATGGGAGTCCTCTCCTTAGAGGTGATAATTGGGAGTTGATGTGGGTACCAGATGAGCTCAGAGAGAAGAGAGAAAGACCTCAAGACAGCCTTGGGGTACACTCACAGTTGACAGGTGGGATGTGGATGATGAATCAGTCAAGGAGAGAGAGGACAAGAGGCGGGACAGGGAGAGGAGAGGCTAACAATGGAGAGAGGAGTGAGGATACGAGAGGAGGGCGATCAGCAGGATCCGGTGCTGCAGAGAGCCTGAGAAAGGGGCCTTAGATTTGGCAGTTCATCCAGAGAGCGCTAGTAGTTTAGGAGAGGGCAGTTTCAGTTTAGTGATGAGAGCAGAAACCAGAGAGCTGGGGATTAGGAAAAGAGAGGAGAGGAGGAGTAGGCACAGAATCAAGGAGTTTGGCACGGAAAGGAAGGACGTTTAGTCTACAGCAAACTCACACAAAATAAACATTAACACAAACAAAAACAATCCGTACACTTGGGTGTGATTCATTAATCTGAATACAAATGCCATAGCCAGAAATCATCATTTACAAATTAGCACAAGCTCCAAATTGTAATGTCACTTCTGAAATAACATCATTAAAAATGTAATCTGAGTCTCATTTATCTGTTTAGTTGCTCAGGAGTGACCTGATGATAACTCTTGTGGGTGGTCAGTGAGTATGACTGTTGAGTCATCTGCCCTTCCTTCTGTGTTTTTCAGGTTAGATTATTTGGAGAAGAGTAAAAATTTTGAAGATCGATTAAAAGAACTCAAGTCTGAAATCCATGCCCTGAAACTTGAGGGAAAACAAAAGGGGCCAATCTCTCATTGGAATGAAGTCTTTGGATCACTAGACCCCACCTTAAGAAGGGTATGTGAGGAGAAGTAAACCGATAATGTCCAGTCAAAAAGTGGCTGATTAAGGTGTGTCTGTGCTGCCTACGCCCCGGTCGTCGTGACTTGCCTTTTCTCTTTATCCCCACCAGCCTCTCTTTTCCCCTTCCGTCTTCCCTTCCCTTGGGCTCCCTGCAGCCTGTTCCAAGTAGCTTCTCTTGAGTTCTGACTTGTGATTTTATCTGTGTAAGGACCTTCCCTTTCTTAGGATGATTTATAGTTTAGGCAGTCACTTGGGGCATTAAGAGGTTAAGTCTCTTTCTTCCCAGGGACACACAGCGCACTTGTGTCAAGAGACAGGTCTTGAAACCAGGTCTAGGAAGACTTGGGAACTATTCTAAAACTTTAAAAATCCCCAGGATGTTACAGGGAAATCTCATTACTGGATGATAGATGAAAAGAACCAATCTGTACTTGTTTCCTGGCCTTTTGATTTTGGCATAATCCCCTTTTAAGATCAGCAGAAAAAGTGACCCACAAAATACACAGAACACAAAAAGAAAGGCAGCGCACCCCCCCCCCCCCCCCCCCCCCCCCCGCCGTAGCCCTGGCTCCAGGAGCAGAGCTCACAGCCTTTGGTTCTTGGATGTGTGTTATAATTTGTCTGCCATGTTCTGGAGGAAATGGGATTATGAAGCTTGATAATGGGAATAGCTTCTGTGTATGTTTATTAAATACCTACGTATGCAAGGTACTGGGATGACACTGCCCCTGACCTCAAGGAGCTGATGTGCTCCTGGGGCAGGAAGTACGATGTGCATACTGAATTCAGGGTGTAGCGTATTGGAGGCAAAGGGGAGATCCCGGCAGACCATTCTAGGAAGATCTGAGGGAGAGACCAGGAACTGGGAAGGATCAGGAAGAGTCTTAAGCTGAGCCTTGAAAGAAGAGAAAGATTCTGGGAGGTGGAGATGAGGAGGGTCATGTATGAAACATAGCAAGAAAGCCATGTCTCTGGGTCACAGAGCACATTGGGGAGTAAAGAGAAAAAAAAACTGGAAACTAGGTAGGAAGGGCCTGATTGTGAAGCGATTGGAAAGCCAGAAGATCGTGTTTGATCCTGGAGGGAAGACGGAGCAGCCACTGGAACCTACTGAGTAATAGGAAGATCACTTTGGCAGCCGAGGGAGCATAGATGAGAGTGGGGAGAGGCTGTAGGCCACGAGACTGACCAGAAAGCTATGACAGTCGTCCATGTGTGGGGTGATAAGAACCTGTACGAGGGTGATGGCCATGGGAGGGGAGAGAAGAGGACATGGGTGGGACATGTTGTGAAATGACAAAAGATTGGCTCTGATTAGTTGTATGGGGTGAGTGTGAGAGAGGAGTTGGGGACGGTGCTTTGGTTGTGAGCTTGGGTGAGTGGACAGTGGTGGTGCCCTTAGGACTCTGGAGCAGGGAGGACAATGAGGTCAGTTTTGGACGGATGAATTTAAGGTGTGTAGGGATGTCCAGTTTGGTGCATCCAGCAGGCAGTTGGAGATGCGCGACTGGGAGAGAAATCAAGGCTGGATTAGCAGGAAGAGGGGATGGTTTTGGGGGAAAGATAATGAGTTCTGTTTTGGACATGATGAGTTTGAGGTGTCCGCAGGACCTCTTGATCAAGATATCCAGGATGGAGGTGTCCGCTCTGGCCCTCACACTGAGGACAGAAGCTCACTTGTTACTACTGATATGATTTATGCACGGCCCAGTGTCTTTGCTTCTGTCTTTTCATCCTGGGCAGGTTCTCATGTTACAGTTCTAGTAGCTCACCTTCTTGTCCCCTGAATGTCACATCTGCCACAGATACACTGTGGCAGCTGCCATCAGGAGAAGCTGAATCTATAGGTCCAAACTGGTTTTGTCCATATCCCTTCTGGATGACCTCTGTAGGACACAACCAGGGGTGGATACACAGGGTCCGCAGGGACACATGGATGTTATACAAACTCCATCCAGAACCACACCCAGCACCACCAAGAAAGACGGGAAAAACTCCTGACTGCCACAACTCTAAAGCCACAAGCTGGGAGCCTTCCTTTTTCTTCTCCTATTTGTTTATTCACAAAAGCCTTTCCCGTGGGTGGGGCCAGCCTGACCAAAGGACATCAGTGTGCACAGTGGGGCTCTCTGGCTCGGACTGTGTTTCCTGATGTTCATTTTTGGAGCAGAGCCTCTGCTCTGTCTTATGCAGCCTCTGCTGAGTTCTTGAGTTTCTGCTTGTTAACACTGAGCTAGAACGGTTTCCTGGAGGGCCACTTCCAAAGCAGAGGTTCCTTTATGCCTTCTTTATGCTGGCTGCTAATGCTTGGGCTCTTCGGTTAACTTTCATGTAGTGGATAACTCTCTCTGTTGGTTTGTCCTTCTTCTTTCCTGATCAGTGTTAGAAATTGTGGGTAACTCCAGGCTGGACCTGCTGGGTGTTCTGCTCTCTGTCTTGGCACAGGGAGTGGAGAGTCAGGAAGATGGAGGCTGTCATCCAGCCAGAGATGAGTCCTCGCTGGGTGGCCCTGATCTAACTTCTCTGGGCCTCCAGTTCCTCAGTGGTGAAATGTGGCTGTTAAGAGCACTCATCTACCCTGTAGGGTTATTGTGATGATCACATGTGAGCCAGAGTATGTAAAACACCATGTGGTCCTTAAAGGGCCGTTATCAACATGAGTCATTATTGTCATTCGAGCATGCCCTCTTTCCCTTAGGCCCTGATAATAGCCTTTAACCACAAGTGTATTGATGAGAACAGATCAGTAAAAATGCTGTCAGATCGCTTCTGTGTCTCATCTGTTTGTTGTCATTCCAGTTTCAGCAGCAAATATACTGGCATGACGTGGTGCAGCTGGTTCCAAGTCAAGTTCTTTAGAGGTTTTGTTTTTTCTCAGTGGTTTTTTGCTGATTTGTGACACAGAGCTGTTTATGATCTTCTGTTATATTCCTCAGTTATTTTATTTAGACCTTAGATCTCCCTACCTCACCCAGCCTGGAAGTACTCTGGCCATTCATGGAACCAGTCCCCCTGCTGATTGTGGGGGAGGTTTGGCCTGTTCTATTTCTGACCCCCCTACTCTAGGGGACTTGCTGTATGGGCCCCAGACTTGGTGGGGACACCAGCTCCGAACTTTTGAGCCCCAGGGTCTGCCCGCTTCAGCTGCCATGTAGGATTTCAGGCCTTTGACCCCTGTGGGCCACACTAATATTTTTTAAATGAGCTGGCAAAATCTTTGGGTCCTATGTCCTGGCAAGGAGTTTAAGGTTCCTTCCCTATGGGATGTAAACTCCTTGAGGGCCAGGATGGTTTCATACTTGTCTTTGTTCCCCCACACCTAACACCCATACCCTCAATAACTGCTTGTCGATCAGTCGGCTGCTTGTGAGGTTGGGGGTGTTCCTGGGGCTCTTCTGCCTTCACTGTTGTGATTGCTTTTCCTTCAGTTAAACTGGTCTGAGAAATGTCGAAGGTAAGAATCAGCAGCTTTACTTTTGCCAGTTCCCCTTTTTTGGAGTCCACAGTTTGTTTAAACAAGTCGGGTTGGAGTTGCTGGAATTGCCCCCAATGTCTTCTTTCCCTATCGTTTCTTCTAATCTGATGATCTTCATCCAACCAGTCAGTGATTTGACTGCGCACAGATGGATGATTTGGAAATAGATGCTACTTCTACAATCAGCTATTTCCTTTCTTGTGAGATACAGTCAAGTTAATTTTTTTTAATGGTGATATTTGGAGTTTGCCACATTTTGTTCTTTCTGCTCTTTTTTTTCAGTCTTTTTTTTTATTAATTTATTTTAATTTATCAACAATCACTTCCATATGCTTTTGAGTTGAAAATTTTTCTCCCTCTTCCTCCCCCCTACCCTCCCCAAGACGGTGCACAATCTGATGTAGGCTTTACATTTACATACCCATTAAACATATTTTCACATTAGTGAAGTTGTAAGTAAAAATTAAAACCAATAGGATGAACCATCAGAAAGATGAAACAAAACTCAACATAAGGGAAAAATAAGTGATAGCGATTCGACTTCCATAGTTCTTTCTTTGGATGTGGACACCATTTTCCATCCTGAGGCCTCTAGAGATGTCTTAGATCCTCATAATGCTGAGATGGGTTCATTTTAACAATCTTAGTCATCGTGTAACGTGGATGTTATTGTGTACAAAGTCCTCTTGGTTCTGCTCACTTCACTCAGCATCAGACCATACAAGTCTTTCCAGGTTTTTCTGAAGGCAGCCTGTTCATCATTTCTTATAGCATAATAGTATTCCATTACATTCATATACCACAACTTGCTCAGCCATTCCCCAATTGATGGGCATCCTCTCAATTTCCTATTCTTTGCCACCACGAAAAGAGCTGCTATGAATATTTTTGTACATGTGGGTCCTTTTCCCATTTGTTTGATCTCTTTGGGATATAGCCCTAGAAGTTCTGCTCTTTTTTGGAAGGAGGTTTTTATAACACACTGGTCATGATCCCTTGTCATATTTTCCAACAGAATTTCCATCATCTTCTTGGTCAGACAAATCTATTTAAAGTGTTTTTTATTGTTAGCCTTTGCTTTCACACCACCCTCCTTCCCAAACAGATCCCTCCTGCCTTCCCGGAGGCCCAGAGCTATTTTTAAGTGTACTTTGCTGGCTACCTTGTTAATTCAGTGAGGGAGGGCAGTGCTATGGTAGGATTACATTTTGATTTGGGTACTTCTTTGCTTTCGAAGGTGCCATCATGGATTAAGCTGGGTGAAGCACAAGGGGGACAGGCTGAACGTCTCCAGAGGCCCTTCCCGCCTTGTCTGCTGAATGCTTTGCATAGCTGGCCCTGCATCAATACCAACTGCTGTGCCATGACAGGAGAAAAGTGTTCTCGAACAAACAACTCCATTTCTAATAACACCGGAGCAGGAACTCGCAAAAACATTGTAAAGGTAGTCCACCATTTTGCTTCTACCAAAATGATGAACTTTTTTTATGCTTAGTGCCCAGTGTAGATGGTCAGTTTGGTTCCTTCCTATGTCCATTCCATCCTTCAGCTGTTCTCATCATAGATGGAGAAAAGATCATTTCAGTCAGCCGCTTCCCTGTGGTTACCGGGTTCAAGGTTTTAACGCTTCTCATGGCTTATTTTCTGTCATTAGAAAGTTTTAGGTCTCATGCCTAGGACCATATTCTGAACGCAATTTTCCTCTTTCAAAACCTCTCCCTGCCCAAGTAATATATAACCTAGAATGCATTTCAAAACTCACATAAATTAATAACTTCTCCACTTGAGCCTGGTGTGAATCCATTATGTTGGAACTGTTGAGAAGACCCATACTGAATCAAACAGTTAACTGCTCTAGTCTGTAGGATTAATTTAAAGTGGGAAAAAAAATGTGTTTTTCATTTAGGTTCAGCAGCGTGACTCAGATGTGATCTACATTTGAAGTTTTTTGGACACACAGCTTCCAGAAGGCGAATACATCGAATTTGTGTAAAAACACCTTCAGTGGGGCTTAAAAGTAATGTTAATGGCTCTTCTTACTTATGGGGTTTATTGTGTGCCATGCTTCAGAGATGGCCATTTCCTTATAAAGGGATACTGAGGACCCTTCCTGATGCTGCTAATTTAGAGGGTGGGCCAGGCAGAAAAGGACACCCTCCCTGGAAAAAAGGCATAAGTCCTACAAATTATATGGACTGTAATTGGAACACAGACTGTTCCTGTCATCCTGGTACTGAACACTTTGGCTTGCCCTCAGATCACTTCTGTTGTTTGTTCCCTGGACTCTGATCCTGGTATGGATGCTTGCTTCTGCTTCTGGCCCCTCTGCTCCCCATGCCAGTGCTTTGCCACTGGCCCTGGCTCCATCTAGGGCTTCTGGACGCTCTCTGAATGGGAACCTTCTTACCCTGGCCTTCCCTGCTCCTTGGCGGGCAGGCTTCAGTTGGAACCTTGGAAGACCCTTAGTTTGCATCTGCTATAGCTTTGCTATCCTAGTCTTAGGATGTGGCTGGGAAGAAAAGTACAACTATATCCATCTCATATTATTTTCACTGGTGATCACTGTTTTTTTACCCAGCTTGAAATATTACTTAGCCATTTGAATATTGAACTTCTCTCTCATGTTTTCGCTTGGTGGTAATGCAGTAAGAAAATGTCAACCCCCTGTTAGTTTGGCTTCTCTTATGGGACTCCAATCGTAGGCCAACATCAGGAGGGAAGCTTGGAGGCTTTCCTCCAGTCTGTCTCACACCTAAAGGAGGGGATGGCCTCCAACTTCCCTGAGAAGACTGAGGCACCTGACAGGAGTTCCCTCATTCCCCCTTGTCCATATTTCAGAACTTCTCAGAAGCCTTACTCCTGCTTTCTTCTCCATCCTACAGATGAAAAGCCAGCCTTCTCCTTACTGATGCTAATCCCTTGCATCTCCTGTTTTTCCCCTCTCTGGCATCTTGACTTTCTTTCCTTCCATTAACTCCCTTCTGCATGCAAACATCTCCCCAGTTAAAAAAAAGAATAAAAACCTTTTTCCTTCTAACCTAAACCCAACTACCAGCACACCTTTCTCTTCTTTTCATGAAAAACTTCTTGGTCTGTTCCCCCATGCAGCTGCTTTTTAAAACTTGCATATTTTTCTTTTTTTCCCCCCAGTTTTATTAATTCATTGATTTATCAACAATCACTTCCATATGCTTTTGAGTTGAAATTTTTCTCCCCCTTCCCCCCCCCCACCCTCCCCAAGACGGCGCACAATATCATATAGGCTTTACATTTACATTCCTATTAAACATATTTTCGCATTAGTGAAGTTGTAAGTAAAAATTAAAACCAATAGGAGAAACTATCAGAAAGATGAAACAAAACTCAACATAAGGGAAAAATAAGTGATAGCGATTCAACTTCCATAGTTCTTTCTTTGGATGTGGACACCATTTTCCATCCAGAGGCCTCTAGAGATATCTTAGATCCTCGTAATGCTGAGAAGGGTTCAGTTTAACAGTATTAGTCATTGCATAACGTGGCTGTTATTGTGTACAAAGTCCTCTTGGTTCTGTTCACTTCACTCAGCATCAGACCATATAAGTCTTTCCAGGTTTTTCTGAAGTCAGCCTGTCCATCATTTTTTATAGCACAATAGTATTCCATTACATTCATATACCACAACTTGCTTAGCCATTCCCCAATTGATGGGCATCCTCTCAATTTCCAATTCTTTGCCACCACAAAAAGAGCTAACTTGCATATTTTTCTTAACCCCTTGCAATCTGGCTTCCCCCCCCTTCCTTGAAAGTCTTCTCTCTAAGGTCATCAGCCATCTCCTAATGGACCATGACCTTTATTCATTCCTCAGCTTGCTGGATCTCTTTGTAGAATTCACTACTGTCGACCGGTCGGCTCATTCCCATTGCCTTCAGAGACATCACGTCTAGTTACCCTTCTGTCTCTTTCATCGCTCCTTCCCTGTTTTCTCTGTCTCCTTCCTCTCACTTTTCGGGTTGTTTTCTAGGTCATTTCCTCAGACTCATTTCTCTCCGTTGGCTCCAGCTGCTCAGAATTCTTCAGAAGTTCATTGGTTTCTGCGGTTGTTTCTGTGCGGGTCCCTCCCCTAGATTTATGTCTCCAGTCTTGGTCCTTCAGCTCCTTGTTAGCATTTCCAGCTGCCTAGAGTTCACTGCTACTTATGTTCCCCTTATGTCTAAAACCAAGCTTAGCATCATCCCCCCAGGCTGTCTTTTTTTCTGGCTTCACCATTTCCATCATGAGCATTTCCATTGGCCAAGATTCCAGGTTTGAAACCTTGGTAATCTTTGATGTCCTCTTTGTCATCTCTCATGTATGGTGAGTCACCAAGTACTGTCTACTCTGCCTCTTGGGCAGTTCTCACGTTCTCCTAGTCCAGGCTCTTATTACTTATTGCCAACTACTGAAAGACCCTCCACTTTTTTCTCTTCCAGTTCTTTCTCCACTGGAGGACTAAACTAATCTTCCTTATATGCAGATGTGTTCATTGTCATCTTTGTTCAGAATCCTCAGTGGCCCTCCGTGATTTGACTTTTACCCTACCTTCCTTTTTTAACGTGTTTTTCTTTCATATCATGAACTTTACAAACACGAACATTTCAATATAGAGAGAACAGAAAAAAAGATCTGAAACTGTGAATTTATGTGCAGTTAAAAAAAAGGTATATACTTCTTTTATAAATATGTAAAATTGAATGCTATACAACTGTCCTGCTAGTCTGTATGTCCTCCTGAAGTTCCTTTTGTTCTCATGTATTTCTAAATGTTTCCCTGTTGTTCTTTTCTTCTTTTCTTGCTTAGAAAGATCGATCCATTGCCAGACCCCCCACCCTTTATCCCCCCATCAAAGCCCTCTTGTAACCCCCAAGTATAACCAAACCAAACAAATTCACATGGCCCTCTCTGAAAATGTTTTCTTTTGCATGTCTAGTGCTTCCCTTCTCTTCTGAAGCTGGGGTCAGTCACTACATTGGCCAGAGTTCTGACCTTTTTTGCCACTGTTACCCTTACATTATTGTCATCCTTGGGTAAATTGTTTTCCTGGCTGTGCTCACTTCCCTTTACATGTTTTCACACTGAGTCTTCCTGGTTTGTATGAATCTGTCATCATACCTTCCAGGTCTATTCTCGTTTCCTTCTCTTTCCCCTGCCCCACATACTCCTGTCCAACTGCCTTTGCTCACACAGTTCTAACCTTCCTGCTAGCTTCATGTTGATTCCAATTTATCCTTTACAAGCCCAGTGGAAAAACTTCATTTTCCCACAAGCCTTCCCTGAGACTTCCCTGCATGTAATACTAGCCCCTGTTCGACCTCACATAGCACTTTGTTCCTTCATGATGTGCTTATATTATTTTATATTATAGTTATTTATGTCTCATGTCCTCTACTAGATCGTTAGCTCCCTGAGGTGAAGGATCATGCCATACTAAGTCTTACCTAACCTACATCATTATCTCACCCAGTGCTTACACCAGCATTTGGCATACAGTAAACTGGATATTTCTTGAACTGAAGTGTTTGAGTTGGACGAGCAGAGTCATTTCAAGGATCACATTGGAGCAAACAATTTCAGTGTTGAATGAAATGAATTTTTCACTCATCTGAATATTTCAGGCTCATCAAATAGTAGATCTAGTTGGACTTGATGTCCTTGGTCATTTTCAGGTAGTGCTCTTTCAATAGGTTATGATAAAAAGAGCTGAAAGACAGCTCATTCTCTAGCTGGTTGAGGAACCTGTCCAAATCTGGTGTATTTTTCTGTTCAACAAATTACTATTGAGCATCTAGTGTGCATTGTTAGGTGCTGAGAACTGTACTGGAAGCCAGGAATTCCCCAGCTGGTCAGGCACAGGACCGTTGGGGTTCTCAGAAGCCCTAACTCATACTTAGGGAGTCCCAGATGAGATCACAGAAACTCCTCAAGCAAAGAGCAGTGGATTAAGTAATGTCTTGGTTTGTTTATTCTTATCGAGATATCTGATATTGGAAGTAATTCGTGGTAGGGTAGCCTTTGAATCCCAAAGGCTTTTATTAACTGTTAACAACTCCTGTGAAGTTGGAGGTTGGTGCTAAAGCCTTGGTACAGGTCTGGAACTGGGATGCTTGTGCAGCTTTCCCACACTGTGATCTGTTTGCTTCTGGATTGTCCAGGCCTCAGGCCAGACCTAGAAGCCACTGGTCTCTGGCCAAGTGGGCTGACTTGGTCCTCATGAAGTTAAATCTCAACAGCCTTTCTGAAGACCGTGAAAAGACTCAGTTCTTTTTAATTTTTTAAAATTTTATTACATTTTATTTTTTTAATGGACAGAAATGGATTGTTGTCTCTCCATGCCTTTCTCTTCAACCGTTGAAGAAAAACAAACTCTGGTAAGAAATTCAGTCAAAGAAGACAGATTCTCATATTGGCCATACCCCAAAATGTGCTTTGTCTTTAGTCCATCCCCTCTGTCAGGAGGTGGGGTAGCATCCTTCATCGAGTTGTCTGGAATTATAGTTGGTCATAGCATTGATCAGAGTTCTTAAGGCTTTCAGAATTGTCTTTATAGTACTGTCATTGTATGAACGGTTCTCCTGGTTCTGCTCACTTCACTCTGCATCAATTCATATAAGTAAGTCTTCCCAGATTTCCCTGGAACTCTGCACTGTTACATTCACATGCTATTTGTTCAGCCATTCTACAGTTAATGGGCACACCCTTAGTTTCCAGTGCTTTGCTACTACGAAAGAGCTGCCATAAATATTTTTGTACATATTCCTTTCCCTCTTTTCTTTGATCTCTTTGGAATACAGGCCTAATAGTAGAGATAGGTCAAACGATAGTCACAATTTAGTGATGTGTTGGGCACAGCTCCAATGCTTTCTAAAATGGTTTTTACCAGTTCATGGCTCTACCAACAGTATCCTAACAGGCCTGTTTTCCAGCAGCTTCTCCAACATTTGTGACTTTCTTTTGATTGTCAACTGTCAATATGATGAATGGATGGATGGAACCTCAGGTTTGTTTTAATTTGCATTTCTCCAATTATTAGTGATTTGGGGCAGCTTTCCTTATGGCTGTTGATAGCTTCCTTAGAAAATTGCCTTTTCATGTCCTTTCACTGTCACCAATGGGTCCTTTAAATGTTGTGTATTACCCAGTAGTTGACAAAATTCATGCTTGTAGACAATCCTTATTAGGAAAAACACCCACCATTCACCTAAGTGAATTCCTGGTACAAATAAGGAGGGGCCCTTCCCGTCACTGGGAGTTTGATTTAAGTGACATTTCCTCAAAGGCCAAATGGAGTATTTGGAATGTTACAGGTATAACAACAGAATACACCTGAGAAGCCTAGTGCCTAGCAACCTAGTGTATCTGCCCAATACAACTATCATGGTTGACAAGACCCCAAATGAATGCACTTAACACACCTTTAAAAGTTAGCTTCCTCACTTTGAAATCCCTCAAATCAGGTGTTCTTCTGCCTCTCCTTCTTTCATTTTACCCTTTACTCTAAAGATGATGAGTGGGGGTGTATCATAGTTTAACATCTCACTACAGCCTCCATTAAAAATGTCTTCTTGATCAACAACAGACAATTATATTATAAAGACTTAAAAAAGTATCATAGCACTATGGTTAATGATAAATGCATTTAATGCCATCTACATAATTTGTAAGTTTTATAGACAGACTTAAACTGATTACAAAAAAAGACTTGGACAGAACAGTAAAATTGATGCCAACTTGTGGGGCACTCTTTGCGCATGTCAAATACCACCATTAATATTCTTTTCCACACATATTAAGCAGTAAGAATATTACATCCTACTAGAAGGAATGTAGAATTTGAAATAAACACTTTTAATAAACAATTTTAATTCTGGCATAAAATAATTTAGTTTTGGTAGATGTTTGTATGTGAGAAAGACCTAAATAGGACATCTGGTATGTGATTAGGATGTATAGCCCTAATGATTAAGAAGTACCTAAGACTTGTATATAAGGCTTATTTACAAGGGGAATTTATTTATTTTCTGTTTTTTACTATGGAAAAATACTGTTTTGTTAAAATATATCCGTTACATAAAGCTATAGTTCATCTTTTATAATGTAACCTATTTTAGGAGTTTGTCTTAAAAAAAACACCTGAAGCTCATTTATTTGGATATTTGTATTAAATAATTAAACTTTCTTTTACAAATCCAAGAGAAGGCATGTTATTTCTCAGTCTTATGACACACAGAACGTAAAACTGACAAAATGGGAAGATATTGTTTAGAAACACACAGGCCACTGTTTAATAAAAATAATAGAGGTTTTATTTGTTACATATAACTTCATTTGTATTAACATATATTATAAATTTTAAAATTATTATGAATGATTTTTTTTTAAACCAAAGATAGTCTTTTACATTTTGGCAGCATGTTACTAAATGAGAATACTGATGGACAGTCAGTAACTGTGTATGTATATCTATAGAGATATATATTTATATCTACACACACACACACACACACACACACACACACACACACACACACACACACACAGAGCAGTGTCAGTTGGGAAGTCACGACACCCAGCTTAATGTTAGGCCAAATTAAAATCACTCAGATTCTGTCCTGTAGAAACGTTGCAGGCTTACGTCCATTTCTGTCAAGGGATGTTTCTAAAGCATGAATTTTTAGTGTAAACTTTGAGACAACTTTCATAGATATACCACAGGACGACCGCTGTCTAAAATTAGGATGACACAGAGAGCCCAGATGCCCAGGCAGAATGCAAAACAGCAAGAGGTTTACCCTGGTTCTTTTAATAGTAGCAGCCCAACTTGACAGCCAGGATGCATTTATCCCACATTAGGATTTTTATACTGAATATTCTGTATATAAGCGACTTGTTTAATTACCACACATACTAGAATGAAAATCTCAAATTAAGCAGTCTAAGCAAGTATTTGGCAGAAAAAAACCACTGAAGTTAACAGTGCTGAGGGAAGTGAGAACACCTTTTAGTGTTGTGTTTGTAAGTAAAGAGACAGTGAAAAGCTTTCATTCAAATTTCTCATCTCCTTCTTCCACGTCTTTCAAGCTGAGAACTTCCAAAGAACCTTTTCCTTTTGTCTCCCTCTGTATCAGCTCATCAATTTCTCTAAAGCAGCCAGGGTCAATCAGACACACCTGAAACATTTAACAGAGTTCTTTGATAGTGTCAGACAGACAGAATATTTTTCTCTACAACTGCAGATGTGGAATCCTTCAAGACAAATTTATCAAAAGACTTTTGTCCTCATTTTGTCCAGGTTCAAAGCAGAAAGGTTCAGGTGCTCATTTAGGAATTACATTCTTGGAAAAATCTCTCAAAATTTCCAAACGATGACTCTTATTGTTGGATGACAGAGGTGGGCTGCTTCAAATAAAAGAGGCAGCTGGTAATGCAGTGGATAGAGTGCTGGGCCAGGGGTCAGGAGACCTCAGTTCAAATCCAGACTCAGGCACTTATCTGTGAAGGTTTTCAAAGCCTTAGATTTTAAAACCTTATAACCTCAGTCTACGAGCTGTGTGCTTTTGTCATTTCTTTGTAACATTCTGTGGGGAAGTGCCCTGGTAATTTCATCCTTGCGACCATATGAACCTCGCTAATATCGTCCTGTGCTATAAGAATATCATTGCACACCAACTCCAAAAAAGGCATTTCCCTTCAGAGCCCAGGGAAGTCATCCTGTAGTACTGAATCTATAACTTATAATCCAAAACACTTTTTTATACACAGATTTACCTAGGCACTCCTTTCTAATGTTTCTTAACATAAGTGCAGAAATAACTTAGACAGCAAATATACAAAGGAATGAAAAGATTTTAGCTTACGATTTCTAACTGGTCACCAAAGTCTTCACTTTCTACCACCTTGATCAATGGTTTGAGCTTTTCTTTGAGCTTTTTCCCCTCCCTCACAGGCAGAATGAATCGAAGCCTCATGTGGGCCCGCTCAATCTTCATGTTTTCCTTCAACTGTCTTATTACTTCCAAGGCCTGTGAAGACAAAAGAAAACAAGTCATGGGGTCTTTTGGTTTCCTTGGGTCACCTTTACTATTTCCCATGATCCTCTTTTCCCTGGCTGTCCCCCAGGGATGGGACTCTCCCCTTCCCCAGCTTCCTTCCAAGTCCAAGCTAAAATCCAAGTTTTCCAAGAAGCCTTTCACAACCCCTCTTAATTCTCGCGCCTTCCCTCTGGTGTTACTTCTAATGTGTCCTGTATAAACCTCATTTGCACCCCATTAGACTCTGCGCTTCTAGAGAGCAGGACCGTCTTGAGTCTTTCTTTGCCTCCCCAGTGTTTAGCACAATGGAGGGCAGCTGGGTGTGCAGTGTGCTGAGCACCAGGCCTGGAGTCAGGAAGACTCCTCTTCCTGAGTTCAAATCTGGCCTCAGTTTCCTCATGTGTAAAGTGAGCTGGAGAAAGAAACTAAACCACTCCAGTATCTCTGCCAAGAAAACCCCAAATGAAGTGTCGGACAGGACTGGAAAACGACTAAACAACATTTAGCATGATGCTTGGCATGTGGTAGGTATTTAATAGGTAGGTAATTTAATTAATTACTGATCTGACTGAAGACTCTGACAACAGGGCCAACGGCAAGTTCAGTAAAAACTTATTTCCATGGACGGAATTTCAAGGACACTTAAAAAGCCAAACACCCACATACTGACCTGCTGCTTCGTGCTCTTGGTGGGTTTGACGGAATAGTGGATATCCTTCATTGCTCTTTCAATGAGGATGACGGTGTATGGTCTCTTTGTTTCAGGATTTACACATTTATCTGCTACAATTGTTGCAATATCCCTAAACATCTGCTCCAGCTGCGTGTGTCGTTCTTTATCTGACACCTGCACTTCTCCTTTTGTTAAAATCTAGAAGGAACAAGCCTTAGTTTTACTTATCGAACACGTTTTTATTATTACCATTTGGTTTTTTATCATCTACATTTCTTCCCAAGAGCCATCACTTATAACAATGGATGAAAAGCAGCTTAGCAGAAGCAGCAACATACTGTAAACACTGGGCACTTGGGTGCAGTGTTCACACTCCTCTCCCACCTCTGGTCCTTCTCATAGCTCTCTGTAGGGGCTAATGTAGCTAGCATTTTGCAGCATCCCGTTTTGATGACTTGTTCTTTCTATGGCACTGTTGTAGTAGTCAGTGTGAATATCGGTTTCTTGGTTCTGCTGACTTCACTTCGCATTAGTTTCTCTCCGTTTTCCCATGCTTCTCTGACTTACCTTCATTGTTTTCTACAGTACACTCACAGACCACAGCTTGTTGATGGCACCATCTACTTTAATAACTATTAATTTTTAAAGTGCCCATATCATATGCTAGTTGACCCCCAGAGGTAATCAGCTACAGCCATGAAGATGACTGAATTTCTGGGATGAAAATTATTAACTATTTCAGATGTGAGGATGCACATTCTTTAAGATGAACTGGATAATCATCTGTGCCTTGTGAACAACAGTAAAACCTCCCTGGGTTGGGATGATGTAGGCTAGAAGGAAAAAGACAATCTATGAAATCTGAATGATGATATTGAACATTTTAAGTATTCTTAAATGAGTCAATTAAAGTTTTAATTTTAGATAGGCCATAATGAAAATTGCTCACAAAATGAGAACTTGATTTGGAGGAAACTGAAATTTCTTGAGGCACAGGTTTGAAAAAAGTGACTTTAGACTGAAATTCTTTTTCCTTTCAAAACTTTTATGTTTTAAAGGTCTATAATTTCACTCGTATTCACTGATTATCAGAGCTCTCCTATTCTTTGTTGATAAGTTTTCATGAGTTGCTGTGTTTTAAAAAATTTATTCAGTTGGTGGCAAATTTTTAAATCAGAACTGTCTGTCAACTAAACTAGGCTGGTCACCACATTACAGACAGGCTTGTGCATAAAGCCGTTCTGTTAGGCAGGACTCTGGAGTCTGGGCTCTGCATTACCTTGAAGTCAAGATGTAGTGGAGAGGAAGGCTTAGGTGGATCCCTGGGGTTCCTCCCAGCTGCATGAGTCTATGATATTCTGAACATTTGGCCCTTTGGAGAGGAAGACATTTTTACTAAGCAGAAAGGCAAAACAGCCCCATCTGAATTACTAATTAATTCTGAATTGGTATACTTCAAGTTAACCATGAAACCCTGCTGCTCTAAAGTGCTTTCTCGGGTAAACGATGAAGACAGGAAATGACAGCACAGCAAAGTTCAGTTTGGACGAAATGCTTCATCATATCAGATTTTGCAGAACTCACCTGCTTACAGATTTCAGTCTGGTCATCGGTTCCAAAAGCACTGATAAGATCTTCCTTTTTAGCAACTTGGCCTTTAGAAACATTTACAAACACAGAGTGGGTCTGCAAAACTTCATCAAGATCTTTTTCCCTGAGGGGAAGGGAGAGAAAGTCACACATGAATATAATTGAAAGTTTCAGAAAGTCCTGCTATTTAAGCATATCAGAATGATATTGTCTTCAAGAACATTCTGAGTCACATACTTAATAGCAACATTCAATGTCTTCTGAACCAATTATTCTCAAGACAATGGGCCACATTTCACTCTGATTCTGATTGCCCAACAGGAAATTTCTCTTCTTCTTTTCCCAGAAAATTTCTAATACAGTTTACTGCCTGGCTCTACAGGCAGCACTGATGCTACTAAGGATTACAGATTTGAGAGCTGGGAGGGATGGCAGAGATCACCAGTCCCCACTCATTTTACATACAAAACCCAGACCCAGGTTGATTAAGGGATTGCCTAAGGTCACTCGGTAAGTGGCAGTTTACATTTGAACCAAGGTGTTCAGACTACAAATCTAGGGCTATTTCTACTTCTCCTCTACTGTATCATGTAAAATAACAATCATGAACACTTTTATATAGTGTTTTACATGCTATTCCACCCACAACAACCATCCTGTAAAGTAAGCACTATTATTATCCCTATTTTACAGGTAAGTGAAAGGACTAATGGCCACGGGGAAAAAAATGGATGTGAACCCAGGTCTTGCCATCAGTGTTAGCAGATGTAATTAACTTAGCAGCAGTTTACAGCAGAGACAGTGAAGAGGTGTGTGTGGCACGGAGAAGGCTGCGTCTGGCTTGATCCCATCCTCCCTGGTCTCCTGGAGAAGCTTGTGCCTCTGAATATCTTCCTTTCTCTCTAATTTTCACTCTCTCCTTAACAAATGGGCCTTTCCCTTTTGCTTACAGAGGCGTAGCTCTAAAAAACAATTCCCTCCTCTTTACCATGCCCATCAGTCCAGAACAGGATTCTTCACTTTTTTTGTCATGGACCCCCAGTGGCAATCTGGTGAAGCACATGCACCCTTTCTCAGAATGTTTATTATACATTCATAAAGTACACAGGATCATAAAGATCAGTGAAATAAAGATGGAAGTTTTTTCCCATTCAAATTCCAGACCCCTGGGGAGGGCTGTCCCATGGATCTTGTTTGTCCTTCATTCTTGAAGAGGACTAATGACATTGGAAAGCGACATCTGGACTTGCAAGTGAATTGGATTTAAGTGAGGCAGAGCCGTACAAAGTCATCACTGGAGCCCAGCGTCCAAGACATCAGTCAAGAGGACTGGCTGTGGTCCCCCCCATGGATCTTAACCTTGCCCTAAACCCTTTCCTATTCCTTATTTAACCATTTCTATTAAATGCCTCACTGTCCTTACAGACACCGAGGCTCACAACCACTTCCTCCTCACTCCCAATCTGACCCACTGCCAACTCCTGTCTATTCTACCTCCACGTCTCAGGCTGTTCCCTTCTCTACACCCACATCCTAACAATGGTGGTCAGGCCTTCAGCATGTTACCTGGACCATAGTAACAACCTTCTGATTGGTTTCCCTCAGTCAATCAACAAGAAGCGCCTCCTGCCAGGCACAGTGTTAAGCTATGGGGACATAAAAAGAGGCAAAAACCAGTCTGTCTCTCCCATTTGATTTTGTGATTCTTGAGAGTAAACAAATATGTATGCACTATATACAGGATAAATATGAAATAATTAAAAGAGGGAAGACACTAGAATTAAAAGGGGTTGAGAAAGGTTTCTGTATTTGATGGGATTTTGGCTGGGCTTTGGAGGAAGCCAGGAGGCAGAGCTGGGGAGAGGGGGGCACCCTGGGTGCCTAGGCCAGCTTGAGACCCTCCACAAAGCGGTCAACGTGATTATCCTAAGTCAAGACTGATAACCTCCAATAGCTCCCTATGACCTCCAGGATAACACTTATGACTCTGTTTGGCGTTTATAGCTCTTTATAACCTAGTCGCTTATTACAAGCAAACAGACAGCCTGCCCATGGCATCTGGGCCCCACCCGCTTTCAATGCCCCTCCAAGGGTAAGCTCATCACCTCAGCACCCCAGCTCCCTCCAGCCTTCGTGCTGTGGGTGGAGAACCAAACTCCACCCACCGCCTTCCTTTACAGAAAGCAGGGCAGACTCGGCTCTTCCCTTGGCATCTGCCTGGCTTCAATTCCATGGCACAGCGGGCCTCAGGTCCCTCCTGCTGTCCCCCCCCCCTTTCCAGCCTCCTTTTCGGTGGGTCCCTATTAGAGTGTAAACTCCTTGAAGGCAGGGACTTTCCTTTTCTCATCTGTATCCCCAGAGCTTGGCACAGGGCCTGGCACAAGCGGGAGCTTAATAAATGACACAGAAAAGCCCGTTTGCTGTTCTTTGCCCCCCCCAAAGGCTGGCACCCCTCTCCCCCAATTGCTGACGCCCCCTCCCCAATTATAGTGCACCTATTCTGTATCTACGTCTGTTGCCCCTCCCTCCCCCTTGGAATGTAAGCCCCTCGAGGGCAAGGCCTGGTTCCACTGCTCCTGAGCATCCTCCTCTCCTGGCAGAGGCCGGGGCCCTACGTGCTTGGGCACCGGCTGATCAGGAAAGTGAAAGCCCCCGGGGCCGGAGCCGCTCCCTCCCGGGTCTTTGGGTCCTCAGCACCAGCGGGGCTCGGCACACAGCAGGGGTCTAATAAGTGCATGCGGGAGGTGGGCGCTCAGCTCGGCTCGCCGCCCGCCCCCTCGAGGAGAGGGCCCCAGCCCTGCCCCCGCCTCACTCACACGCCGCTGCGCCAGCCCACGACCTTGTTCTTGTAGCAGGCGATCTCAAAGCGCTTCCCCCCGCGCTTCATGCGCACGACGGCCACATTCGTCAGGCGGATCTGGTTGGTGGGCGTGAAAATCGACATGGTGGCGGCTGGTCCCCACCCGGAGGGCGGGCCTGCCAACGGCCGGGGACCCTCGAGCCGGGCGGCGCGGACTCTGCCAGGAAAGGGTCGAAGGCGAAGCCGCCGCCGCCGCCTCTCCCACAACAACCCCCGCCAGGCGTCTTTAATGCGCAGGCGTTAGGAAGGGCCGGGGAAAACAGAACTTTACACCGTGGGGTGCGTCGACATAACCCGAACCAATCAAAAGGCAGGGCGACTCGATGGGCCCTTGGCTTCACCAATGAGAGATGCGCCACTGCCCTCTTCCGGCTTCTTTTGCTCCTCTGCGCTCTTACCCGGTAGCTCTAGCCTGAAATTGAACCACCCTGTGGCGCTGGCTTTTAATGGCCGGGTAGAAACCTGTAGTAGGAGAGATGGAGTTCCGGGGCGGGCCAGAGTCCTTCTTCACTCCCTGTTGCCCATCAATCTACCTTAATGTTTGGGACTGTCAGGACGAACACACAAATAGAGGCAGCTACTTGGTGCAATGGACAGAGCACAGAGCCTAGAGTCAGGATGGATCTGAGTTCAAATCCAGCCTCAGATACTAGCTTTGGGACCTTGGGCAAATCACTTCCCCTCCTTGCCTCAGTTTCCCCATCTGTATAATGGTGATAATAAAGGCACCTACCTCTCAGGACTGTTGAGCAGTGAACCAGATAATCGTAAAGTGCTTAGCACAGTGCCGAGCATTTATGTAGGTGCTTAATGAATGTTAGCTATTATTCTTTATACACCAAGGCATCTGCTAAGAGGCAAAAGACCACGGTCTCATCTGAGGCTAACACCCCTGGGCCTCAGTTTCTCCATCTGTAAAGCGAATGGATGGAATTAGAGGATCCCTTCCAGCTCGATACTGTGTGATCTTGGCCAGGTCCTGGACGGGGGTTGGGCTGGACAGCCCCGTTAGGATGTGAGCTCCTTGAGAGCAGGGTCTACCTCCCTTCTCTCCTTGTACCCCGCAGTGCTCAGCTGGTGCACTGTACGTGGTAAGCGCTTAATAAACGCTTGCTTGTTTCCTCATCCATCCCTTCTGAGGTCCATTCCAGATCCAGATATGCCATCTCTTTGCTCCTATTCTTTTGAGTTCCATTTCAGGGGCAGGGAGACCCCCACGAGGACCTTAAGGGGCCCGCTCTCCCATTCACGGGGCCACGGGGGCGGGGCTTGCGACGAGCCCCGCCCCAAGAGCTGAAAGTCCCGCCCACCCCCCGCCCGCTGACCAATGACGGCCGCCGGTCCAGCTGCCACTCTCCCCGCAGCCCGGCCTCCCGGAGCCAGCAGCTGTAGCGCCTGCCGGGCTCCCGCTGTCCGCCTGGCCCGGACCCTGCTCCCGCCACCCGCCGAGGACATGGGTAAGGTCCGCTCTCAGTTTCCGCTTCCCCTGCTCGGGTTCAGGTCCGCGCGGACCCTGCTCTGGCCGGCCCGCAGGCTGCCAGCCGCCTTCCCGGGCGATCCCAAGCTCCCCCCGCGCGTAGATGGACTCTCGAGGGGGGCCGTCCGCCTGCGCAGGCGCGCTCGTTCCCGTTGGTGCGTGCGCGCACGCGCAGGCGCGGGGGCGGGACGGAAACGGGGATTGGTGGGACACAGGTTTATGCCCAGCGATTGGCTGGTCCAGCGACCAACGTTCATAAAAGGCTTACCACGTGCTAGCTGAGGTTGGGGTGCAGAGTGAGGCAAGGGCCTGGTCGCTGCTGCCTTCGTGAAGCTTCCATTCAATTGGGGCGGATGTAGTCGTGGCATTCTAGAATTCCCCTAGGCCATCACCTGGATTTCAGATGAGGAAACTGAAGCTTGCCCAGGGTCACACAACTAGTTACTTTCAGAGGTTGGATTTGAACCGAGCTCTTTCTGAGAACGTTATTGCCAGGCTCGGAGCAAATAAAACCACATTTATTAAATGCCCACTGTGTTCCAGCCACTGTGCTAAGCAGTGTGACTGTTTATTGTGGCCTGGACTGCCTTGGCTCCTGTTAGGAAGCCTTTCTGGACCCCCATCCCTCCTTCGTGCCAGAGCCTTCCGTGTGAGACAGTTCCCATTTATCCGATGTTTTTTTTATTTGCACCTGATTGTTTTCTTGTTGTCCCTATGGGACTCTGAGCTCCTTGGGGAGGCGGGGATGCTTATTGCATATCTATATATACATATATGTGTCATATGTATATATGTGTATGTATACATGTACATATGTACACACACATATATGTAATGTATACTCAGTGCAGTTACTGGCACATAGAAGGTGCTTAACAAATGCTTATTGAATCACTGTCAGTCTGGAGAGGCCTATGGAGCAAATCTCAGAATCACCTTTTTAAATGCCTAGAATAAAATACATAGGATCACTCGGAAAGCCAAATTATATTGAAATACAGTTACCAAGATATTAAAAACAAGGTCCCCAGTCACCGCGGCTCTAAATACAATCTAAGTAAATTTAAAATATGTAGATACAAAGTAATGACAAGGCAGAAGTCAGGGAAGGCTTTGTGTAGGACACAGAAGTGGGGTTTGGAAAGAAGAAAGGGATTGTAAGAAGTGAGGAGAGAGATGAGGAGGGGAGGGCATTGTAGGCATTATAGAGTCAGAAGAAGGAAGCACAGAATGAGGGTATGTGGGCCAGCTTAGGTCCTCTTCCTTTCTTTTTCCATCCCCCCTCTCCCTAGCAACACCCCCCCTCCCATTCTCCATGGGGCTCTGGAAAGTGCCTGTTGGGGTACCTTTATCACTGGAGAGATGAGGGGGTGGATCATGGGTCGCTGGCCCTCCACAAAGGCTGTCCTCCATGTCTGAATGTACAGTTATCCCTTCCACATTGCTGGGGATGGGGGGTGGGGTGTCCTGCGATCTGGAGAATCTGGGTAAAATTTTTTGGCCACTTTTTTATACCAGAGAAGAAATCTGATTTTTTTTTCTTTTATGGGGTGTTTATATGACCTTATTGTAAAATTTGGGTTAAGTATTTGGGCTCTGTATTATCTGCTGGTCTTCCATGTAGTCTATGGCTTCCACAAAACTCCCCCCAAATTCCCATTTAATTTCTTATGCTGACCGATAAGATAGAGCGAAACATTGGTGGGGAAAGTCAAGATGTGGAAGGGATAACTGTACTCCCAACCTCCCTCTGCCTCATAAATCCTGCTCAGCTGAAATGCCTCCTCCTTCCGGAAGCCTTCATGATGCGCTCAGTTTCTAATGTCTTCTCCCTGGAAATTACTCTGTATGTATCTTGTATTTAATTTTCTTTCTCTATATTTCCCCCAGTAGAATGTAAGATTTTTGAGGGTTGGGCAATGTCTGTCTTGGTATGATCCTGGCACATACTGAAGTAGGTACTTATCCAATGTTGCTATGGAGTTGGGGAGCTGGGTGACTATAGGCAAGTCACCATCCCACCCTGGGCCCCAGTTTCCTCATCTGCAAAATGAATGGGCTGGAATTGATGACGCTCAAGGCCACTTCATAAAATCATAGATCTGGAGTGCTCTGTAGGCTCTCTCAATTTGTGGAAAAGCAAACAGGCCCATGGGGCCTGGGTTGTACAGATAGTAAGGGGCAGAGTTGACATTTGAACTCAGTTCCTGTGACTCCAAATCTAGTGTTTTTTCCCATCGTGCCACAGAACCCATAGCTGGGATAGAGCTGTGATTTTGGTGTTGGGTATGTGGGTTCCACCCTAGGTCATAGGGAGTTGTTGGAAACTCTTGGGGATTCAGTAACTTTCCAAGGGTCATACAGCTAGTCAGAATGAGTCTCTGATTCCAAGCCCAGCCCCCTCCATTGTTCATCGCTGCCTCATTTTCATTCTTGGGATACATTGGTATTGAATCTGATGGAAGAGGAAGTTGGTGCTGTGTTAATTTAGTGTCACTGTGTAGTAAAACCAATTGATGGAATGTCCAGCGCTGTAGAAACAAAAGCATGTTGTTCAAAACAATTGCATATGGTGGGTAGTGAAAGTCCTGAGCCCCCATTTTCTTGATGAGGATACTGAGGCTATGATCATGAAATGCCTCTCTTAAGTCCACCTCTATCAGGTGTCATATAGAAGGCAGATCTCCTGATTTGAAGCCTCGGACTTTTTTTTTTTAAACTATGCCTTGCCTATTCTTTCCAATAGCAGTTCACTGGTTTGCCTGACTTATTTTGCCCTGCAGTGAAAACAGGTCCAACGTTCAACGTTTTGAGGCAAAGGACACTGTCTAAGCAAGTCTGACTTCCACGACATCGTAGGGTCTATTGCATTTGGCGGCCCTTGGCCATGGGATTAGTCAAGCTTTATTACTGTGTAAAAGGCACGAACACAGCTGGAATAAGCAAACATGTTTGATAAACTCTGGTGGCCTGTTCAAGCCCTTCCAGTGAGCCTCCCTTCGGGCTTTCCTGTCTAAAGAGGATAGATGGCTCGAAGTGTCTGCTCACAATAAGGCAGTGACGTGAACACAAATGAGCTGATTCACCTGTTGGCCCTCCAGACAATTAATTGCATTCATCTAACGTAAGAATGGGAACTTAATTTCTGCAGCTCCAGAAACCTTTGAGGGAAGTTAAGAAATATGAAGACCGCTGAGTGAACCTCAGGGTCTATGTGGGAGTTTTTCCCCCTCTCTGTCTTCTTGAGGTGCTTTCTGGGCACAAACTGATCTTTGAAAAATAGGAACTTGTTTTCAGGTGCTTAGAGAAACACTAAACATTGGCCAGTTGCCCTCATCAGAAATAAGGTGTGTGAGTGGCTTAAGCATCTAGTTGAATCCTGTTAAATTAACGTAGCTGGAGTTCACTTAGAATGAATGGAAAACTCTGACTGTCCCATGGCTTGTGCTAGTTAGATTTCTGGTTAGATTTGCTGGTGCCACTTGTTTCAATTTATAATTATGTATTATTTAATATGTTTATATATTATTTATTATATATTTTTATTTTAATTCATTTTATTTTTTCTATCTTATCTATTATTTTGTTATTATATTTATTACTTTATTATTTATTACACATATATAATTATAATGTGTTTTAATGGGAAAAAAAAGATTTACTCATGTTATATTTATTTCTATGTGTGTAATTTCTACTTAGATGCTTCCTTGGATGCATGGGACCACTTCTACACACCTTTGATATCCTTGTGGGTGAACAGGTTTTATGTGTACGTGGGTCTTGCCTTTGGTGTTAGCCTGTGCATCTGCGTTCAAGTTGTCACCAAAAAGCTTGTAAGTAGAGTTATTTCTTAAGGGAATGAATGGATATTAGCTGCGGGTCAGATTTTAGATATTCAGGTCCTAAAGGTTATAGAGTGTGTACCTTTACTCTTTTATACCTCTGCTAAGTGAATGAGTGAATGAATAAAACAGCATTTATTTAGCATTTACTGTGTGCCTCAGATTAAATGTATCTCAAAGTTTTGTAATAATAATAATAGTTAGCACTTATATGGTGCTTTAAGTCTTACAGAGCTCTTTACAATTATGATCTTATCCTCTCCTCACAGTAACCCTGGGAAGCAGGTGCCATTATTATCCCCATTTTACCAATGAAGAAAGTGACTTGGAAGCTAGGAAGAGTTTGAGGCTGAATTTGAACTGAGGGCTTCCTGACTCTAGCTTCTAGCTCTTTATCTTCTGTTGACACTTAGCTGTATGGTATTGAAAAGTTTAACTCCCACCAATCTAGAAGGGACAGCATACATGTGATGGACAGAGTTAGGGTCCAGAAAGGTTTTCACAGACTTGGAAATTGGGCAGCCTTGACTAAGTCTGAACTTGATTTGAAATTTAAGAGGGAGATATGCAAAATGTTACATTTGGGTTCAAGAAGTCCACCCCACAACAATAGGATGGGGAGGTGTGGTTGGACAGTAGGTTGTCTGAAGAAGAGCCAGGGATCTGAGTGGACCACACGTGTAGGGGAATATGGCAGCTCCAAAAGCTGGCACCATTTTTGGTTGAGAGAGGCATGACTGAGGCTTAAGGATGTTCTGCTCCCACAGCCCTCTGTGTCCAGGTTTGAGTAGCACATTTTAGGGAGGACATTGATGATGATGATGGTGGTGGTGGTGATGATGATGATGATAGCTGGCATTTATGTCGTGCTTTCACACTTTCAATCTGTAAGCTGGAGCACGTCTGGAGAAGGGCTCCCGGGACAAGGAGGGGCTTTGAGGCCGTGCCCTGTGAGGGCTGATTGAAGGAACTGGAGGTGTTGGTTCAGCAGAAGAGAAATGACTCCAACAGACATTTATTAGGCTTCTGCTTTGTGGTGGGCACTGTGTGACATGCGGGGGGCACAGAGATTGAAATGCAGCAGTCCTGAATGTGAAAAGCGCAGATTCCCCTGGGAGTGAGGAAATGCCAGATGAACACAGATCAGTCTTTGGAGGCAGGAGGTTGGAGATCAATTGGTCAAGCCATAGGCATTTATTAAGCACCTACTGTGTGCCAGGCACTATGCTAAGTGCTGTGTGAGGGATGGGGGTTTGAAAGGGAGGTGAGGAGCTTCATATGAACATAAATGAGTCATCTCCATGCAGATGATGACATGGAGAGAGAGAGACAGAGAGAAAGAGAAGGGGAGAGAGAGAGAGAGAGAGAGAGAAGAGAGAGAGAGAGAGAGAGAGAGAGAGAGAAAGGGGGGGAGAGAGAAAGGGAGGGAGGGAGGGAGAGAGAGAGAGAGAGAGAGAGAAAAGGGGAGAGAGAAAGGGAGGGAGAGACAGAGAAGTGGGGAGAGAGAGGGAGAGACAGACAGAGAAGGGGGGAGAGACAGAAAGAGAGAAAAGAGGAGAGAGACAGAAAGAGAGAGAGGAGAGAGACAGAAAGAGAAGAGAGAGAGGAGAGACAAAGAGGAGAGAGAGAAGGAGAGAGAGAGAAGGAGAGAGAAGGGGAGAGAGGGAGGGAGGAAGACAGAGAAGGGGAAAAAGAGACAGAGAGACAGAGAGAGAGATAGAGACAGAGAAAAAGAAGGAGAAAGAGAGGAGAGAGAAGAAGAGAAAGAGAGGAGAGAGACAGGAGAGAGAGAGACAGAGAAAGAGAAGGAGAGAGAGAGAGAAGGAGAGAGAGGAGAAAGAGAGGAGAGAGACAGAAAGAGAAGGAGAGAGAGAGAGAAGAGAAAGAGAGAAGAAGCGAGAGAGGAGAGAGAAGAAAGAGAAGAAGAGAGAGGAGAGAGAAAGAGGAGAGAGACAGAGAGAGAGGAGAGAAGAAGAAAGAGAGAGAAGAGAGACAGAGAGAAGGAGAGAGAAAGAGGAGACAGAGATAGAGGAGAGAGACAGAAAGAGAGAGAAGGGGAGAGAGAGAGGAGAAAGAGAGAAGGGGAGAGAGAGACAGAGAGAGGAGAGAGAAGAAGAAGAGAAAGAGAGAGAGAGGAGAGAGAGAGAGAGCGCGCCAGCCCAGAAGAGAGCCTTAAGAGACACTCATAGTTAATTAGAGGACAGGATAGGGATGGTAACGCTGCAGAGGAGACTGAGAAGGAGCAGACTAACTGGTAGGAGGAGGACCAGGAGAGGGCAGTGCCTCAGAGAGCATCTGGAAGGAGGGATTGCTCAGATGTGCTGGATGCAACCTTGAGGTATGTGAGGATGAAGACTAAGAAAGCACCATTGGATTTAGCCCAAGAGAGATAACTGTGACTTTGGAGATGGTTCAGGGAGAACATGAGAGCTAGCTTCAAGTCCCTGGAAGGCTTTAGTTTGCAAGAGGGGTTAGTTTGTGGGTTTGGCACCAGAGGGCAGAGCTCAGAGAAGTGGGTGGAAGTTGGGGCAATCTCCTTCCCACTGGAGCTCTGGCATACTAGACTAGGTGGCCCCTGGATGAGACAGGTCTTCCCTCCCCGGGGATCTTCCTGCTAAGGCAGGACAACCCTTGTGGGGTAGGCAGTAATGGGGATCCTCTGAGGATCCTCTGCATCTTAGGATTTTAATTTCCTGACCTCTGAAAGAGTCTGTTTCTCTGCCCATTTTTTTGTCATCAGGAGTGGGGAATTGTAGAAAAAAAAATTGGTTGTAATGGCCAAAAGCTATACATTTTTCTCTTTAAGGGTGACAGATCAACAGGGAAATCATCCCTCCAGAAGACCTCCCCAGCTCCCATGGCTCCTGTGGCCCCCTGGCCCCCGTGGCCAGTGGTCCCACTTCCCATCAGAAGAAAGAAGTCCATGTTTCTGGAGTGAAGATCTTCTATGCTTCTCAGACTGGTACTGCAAAGGTAAAAGGACCTCACCATTTTTTGGACCTTTGATTCCCAGACTTGTTCTTATGTGTTACATTGACTTCAGTGAAGAGTTTTATTCCTAAAGTTTTCTTTCTCTTTGTCTCTCTAAGGCCTTATTCCTAATCCTCTTCATACTTTCTGTTTGACATGATCTTTTAATTAACATTGCAGACGTGCAAAATTCTGAGGGATATCTTTTGTTTTTATAACATCTTAGTTTTTGAAGGTATTGCTCTCCCTTCCCTACCCTTCGCTGGCCCTTGTAACGAAAGGTTAAAGAGAACAAGGGGAAAAGCCAGTACAGCAAAACTATCTACCATCCCCTAGAAATCTGATGATGCATGCATTGTTCCATCCCATAGCCCCCCACCTCTGCAAGGAAAGGGGGCCAGTGCATTTCTGATGGTGTATGCACTGTTCCTTACCCATAGGCCCCTCCTCCACCACCTCTGCAAGGAAAGGGGGCTGGTGCACTTCTGATGATGTATGCTGTATTGCCCACCCATAGCTCCCCACCTCTGCAAGGAAAGGAGGTTGTTGTATTTCTGATGATGTATGCTGTATTGCCCACCCATAGCTCCCCACCTCTGCAAGGAAAGGGAGCCAATGCATTTCTGATATATGTTGTATTGCCCACCCATAGCCCCCCACCTCTGCAAGGAAAGGAGGCTGGTACATTTTCCTCTTTCCTCTTCAGGTGAGATGAATTACTAAAGACAGACACTAAGTTCTTCTGAATTTGTCTGGAGGCTTCAAAGCTGTATCAGGAATAGGGAAGGTAGGCGACCCTCTGCTGAGGAAGCAGTGTTTGCATAGTGTAGGTGGTTTTAGTGCCCACAAGTGCACTCCTGGATGAGGAAACTCCCTTCCCCGTCAGATTGACCCTGTCAGATTGTTCTCTGCCACTCACAGTCTTCGAATTGCCCAGAGCTCTTGGAGCTTAAGCCGCTTGCCTGGGGTCACACAGCCAGGATGGGTCAGAGACAGGTGCGACCCAGGCCTTCCTGGCTTTGCAGACAGCCCCATCACCGAGCTCGTGCTGCTGCCTGTCTTCTGCCTTTGAAAGCCAGTAAAAGTCAGTGCCTTCGGGGATAACATAAAATAGAATTTTTTTAAATGATCTGAACTTGGGGGGGGATATTTGTGTAGTATTGGGGAAGAAGGTTGTCCTTGTCGCCCCTTGTGGACGCTGTGCAGAGCTGTGTTTTTATTTTGTGGGGTAGCCTCATTACCTCATTTTCTGCAGTGACTGTGCCATTCTCAGAGGAGGCTCTGCCTCAAGCATTGGGATGAGGTGAGGATCAGAGCAAGTTGGCCAGAATAGTTCTGGGCCATATACTTGCCCACTGAGCTCATGAGGCAAAGCCCCCCAGTTCTGACTTTCACAGCAAGCTGGTTTAGTTGGGTTTCATACATGATCCTATGGGGTTTGGCCTTCTGCCTTCCCAGGCCTCAGTAGAATTAAAGCTGCCTGCCAGGCCTTGGGGGAGTGAGCGCTGCTGGAGACAGACACAGTGTTAGCAGTGAAGGCTGAAGGTGGGGGGGGAGACAGAAAACCTCAGCAATAGATAGGTGGGTTCAGAAAGCATGGCAGGCGTGGCTGGTTGGCGCAGGGGCTCAAAGCTTTGTGTCTCTTGCTGCTCAGAAGGTGGGACTGTGTGATGCACCCCACAGAGTGTGTGTGTGCCATAGCGTGTGCAGTAATGCTCTGGTCATCAGGACGTGAGGAATTACGGGGGGTGGGTCCTCTTCCAGAAGGCCAAGCTCTGAGACTTTCAGGGCCAGAGCTGATTCTGAACTGATTTAGCTGCAATAAGTAATCGCTTACCTTTCTGTAATACGTCCTAGGTGCTAGGCATGGGATCACTTTTATTTTATTTTATTTTATTTTTCTTATATTTTTAAGTTGATACAGTCATGAAGCTGACCCGGTGCATGTATGACCAGTAGCCCCAAACCAGAGCCCCCCAGGTTCACTGGCTCTGAGCTCAGTCTTAGGTGTGACTCACAAATGAGTCAGTCTCCCCAGGGCTCTCCCTGGGAACATCAGCCCTTGATTAGGGTTTGGGATGCTGCAGAAAAGTTATGGAGGCTGACATCAGTTCCCAGGCATTGGTGGGCTAAGAAGACATCATGCTGGCTGCTCTACAAGGCAGTTTTAAGCTTTGATAGCTTGTTGGAACACCCTTTGTATAGGATGAAAAACACTGAACAGAAGAGAATCACGTGTGAGCCCGTGAAAGGGCCAATCAGCCTTCCTTCCCTGTCCATTAGTATCACTGTCCCCCAAGACCTGTATAGTCCCTGTGACTACTGCAGGATGGGGCTGACCCTTCCCCTCATCCTTACCCCAAAAGGGAGTTTTGATTTTTTTCAAATCAGTCATCCTTTCCCTGGGAACTGTAGTTTTCTATCCTTTAGAGGGTTACCCTACAATTGAAGGCCCCTTTTCCCTGTGAAGTCCCACTTCATGGAGAGAGAGAGCTGGGGAGTGCTAGGGTTGACCCCTTCCCTTATACTTGGCCAGTGCAGATAACTCCCACCATCACTGAGGGCCAGGGCCAGGGTTTGCTTCTCTGTATCATGGCTCTAGTCCTCTCTGCTCCTTAGCTTGGCTCCTACTTCTTCTAAGGAGTGGAAAAGGGAAGGGAGTAATAGTTTATGTAGTGCTTACTATGTGCCAGGCACTGTGCTAAGTGCTTTTTACAAATATTGTCTCATTTGCTGAACTTGATCACGTTCAGGAGCTCCAGGACCCAGGGGTCTCCTCCCAGAGTCTTGTTCTGTGTACATCACAGCTGCCTGCTCCTGTCCCCGAAGCTTCTGGCTTGGTCCAAGGGCTCCTCTTTACACCACCAGCTCAAAAAAAGAGGACGCTGTGGTGTCATCTCTGGAGCTCATGGCTTCCTCTTCTGGTGCTCTGTGGTTCCCTGGAAGGCTATAGGGCTGCTCAGGCTTCCTTCCTGGGGAAGAGTGTTTGACCAACTTCTTTCTGGCTGTCTCAGTCCTGATTCTTACCCTGTTCCTAATAGTTTAACTTTTTTTTCCTGTTTTTTTTTTTTAAAGACCAAGTCTAAGTTTGTTTTATTCAGCCTGGCATCTTCACTGCAGGCAAGGGGTTAGGGCAGGACCCTGAGTCAGATGAGTTCTTCCCATCTCAAAGAGACAGCTTTATTGAGGGTCTTCAGCCTTTTCCTTAAGTAGACAGGAGAGGGATTCAGGAAGCTCACAGTAGGCCCTCCTGGGCACACACTCCCTGCATAAATCTTTGTCACTATTTACACTTAAAAAGAACTTTTTGTGCAGAATATATTCAGAGTTCACATTCTTTATACCTCCCCAGGATTCCATTCTGTTTGGCCATTCATCTCTCTGTCTATGTCTGTGTTTTCCTTTCTATAGCCACGGAGAGTGTATATGTCATTCTTCTGTTTATGCTTCATAATTTAAGCACTTATTACCTCAGCAAACCTTTCCTGTTTCTTTATCTTCTGCATATTTATCATTTTAAACAGCAAAATGGTAAGATTCCATTTTCTTTATATACCGTGGTTGAATCAACCATTTGCCAACTGTTGGACATGTAGGTTATTTCTGGTTCTTTGCAGTCACAAACAATGCTGTTGTACATATGTTTGAACAGATGCAGCTTTTTTTCTTTATGATAACGCCCTTGGGGCACATGTCCAATGATGGGATTATTGGATCAAAAGGGAGGATCGCAGGGAACCAAGTACTGTGACGTGCAGAGAGAGCTGAAGCCCTCTGATCCTCGGTGTCTTCACCTGTATGGTGAGGAGGACACCTCGAAATTGGGGCCCCACTGCCTAGGAGCCGCCTGAGTCCCCCTGCTCTGATGCTGCCCCTCGGCTCTGCCAGCCTTGCCATGGGCCCCCCCGGCCTGGCAGCATGGTTGGTCCGGCCTTAGTGGAGGACGTGAAGTGATCCCTTGGGTCAGTTCTCTGGTCCTTAAAGAGGCAAGGCCTTCTTCAGTTATTTCTCGTCATTTCTGCTTGTGGTCTTTGACCATTTATCCAGCACTGTGCGATCTGTGATTGCCATGGAGGGAGTTAATAAAAAACAAAGTGGTGTTTAAAAGGGGTTGAGCTCAGGCCCGGGAAGTGCACTCCTGCTGAAATGGGCTCAGTGCTGTGCCTCTGCCACTCTGGGTTTCTCTGATTTGTTTCATCAGGGATTTGCAACAAGTCTCGCCAAAAGGGTGACGGCTCTTGATTTGCCGGTGGCGGTCATTAATTTGAAAGAATACGACCCCGATGATCACCTGGGGGAGGAGGTAGGTGATGAATCGCCTTTTGTCTCTTTCCCCACCAGAGCACCTTCTGGGTTTTGGCTCAAGGGCTACTCAAGAATACTTGAACTTTCCAGAATAAATTTAATTTCCTTAAAAAGGTTCTTTTTGCTGGTGACTTTTTAGAAGGGACTCTGAGGCCAGATGATCTCAGGGGTGGGAAATGGCAGCCTTGAGGCCACATGGGGCCCTCTAGGTCCTCCAGTGTGGCTCTTTGATGGAATTCAGGGCTTCCCTTGAGGACCTAGAGGGCCCCATGTGTCCTCGAGGCCAGGTTCCCCACCCTGACCTGTATTCTAGTCATAACTCTGAGGAATGGAAGGCGTGCACAGTAGGTGCCTCCACGGCTGTAGCTCGGAGGCCCGATGACGGCAGTCACAATTATTACTGTTATGAAAGACTATGTAACATAATATATAAAACTTGTATTGTTATGTAGCGATAGTAACACCCAGCAGCTGTATCACATTGTAAGGTTTGCAAAGTGCTTCGTGTATATCATCTCACTGGATTTTCCTGAGAGTCTTTTGAAGCGGGTCTCATCCCTATTTTACAGATGAGGAAACTGAGGCTGAGATAGAGTGACTTGCCCAGCTTGTATGCCAAGTGTCTGTACTATGCTGCCTTCCTAGCTCCAAGTCTCTGTATTGTGCCACCACACTGCCCAAACTAGGTGCCCTCCAGCACTGAGTATGCCCGGGAGGTTTCCCATCCGAGTCCTGACCAGGGCCCCCTTGCTCATCTTCTGGGATCTGACAAGATGGGGCTCGTGCTGGGTAGGAGGCCTGGCTGTGGTCAGATTAGTCATGGGCGGCTGAGCTTCCCCTAGCTCTTTACCTGTGCGGGGATTTTCAATGTGTATACTTTTTGGAGGTGAATCTGAGGCCATGGGTGTGTTTTATGCTCTAACATGGACCATGCAGTTTATCCTCCGGCTGTTTTCTAGTTAGCATCTCTTTGCTACCTTTAGGACAGCCTTTAGACTCTTCTCCGTTACTTTTTGTCAGCTCATTGACTTTCCACTGCTTGAAGTCCCTATTCAAGGAGATGACGACATTTAAGAAGATTCCTAGTGCCTGAGTGTAGGGTTAGGCGGCCGTGAGGCTCCCATCCAGTCTTTTCTGGTCCGTGGATGCCCCAGAGGCTGTGGCAGGTTTAAAGGGCATGGTTCCTGTGCTTCTGGGCTCTGTGTCCTCTGTCACCTGTCCATCTCACTTCTCTCATCCATAAAATAGGGATAATTAGAGCTCTTCTCTCTGTTTTGAGAATTAATAACACATGGAAAAGTCTTCTGTTTCTTGGAGGCCAAGGCAATGTGAAGGTGAATTTTAAAAGAAATGCCTCTTTCATTAGGATGACTTGGAAATCCTTTGGAATGCCTTTTTTTTTTTGTAGGTAACCAGTAAAAGTATTTGCGTCTTCCTGGTTGCTACCTGCTGATGGCCGGCCACCAGACAGTGCAGAGTGGTTCTGCAAATGGTTAGAGGAGGCTTCGAATGACTTTAGATTTGGCAAGACTTATCTGAAGGGCATGAGATACGCAGTGTTTGGATTGGGAAACTCGGTCTATGAGAGCAACTTTAACAAGGTAAGGGGCTGCTTTTATCCTCTTGGCTGGTGTGGATGGGGCTGTTCCTCCATCCCGGTGCCTCCCAGCAGGATTGTCCCCTAGGGACGGAAGCTCAAGAGGTGCTCATTCCCCTGGTGCAGAGGGTGACCCTTCAGGCTGTACTAGACAGTCACTGTGAGTTGCTGTGGCCAAACAAAATTCACTTTCTGGTGGTGGGATTCAGAGAGCTGGCTCTTCAGTGATTGATATACACAGCTTATCTTGGGGCCGTGTTCAAAGCCTCATCAGCTTGGCATAGGACTTACTGGAGGCTGGCATGGCCTCCTCCATCGTGCCTTTGTAATAAAGGGGTGGAATTTGGCAAAAATGAACAGACACGGGGGTCCTGTCTGGTAGGGTATACCTCATTCTGTAGCTCTCCGCTCTCTGTTGAGAGGAGAGGGGGCAGTCTCACCATTGACTTTCTGGGTCAGAGTTGATCATCACATGTCATCCTTGACTGTCCAGTGTTCCTCAGCCCCTGTATCCAGTTGCCAGTCTGTTCCACTTCCTCACCTTCTCTCTCTACTGACTCCACAACCGTAGGAGTTCGGGTCCCCTTGGCCTCTTTCAGAGGCCGCCTCGTGGTTGTCCCTGCACTCAGCCTCTTGGAAGCCCTGGCTGCTTCCCCAGTTGTGTTCAGTTGGCGTTTCCTTCGGAGACCTTGCCTGATTCCCCCATGTCCCCACATCACCGCGTGTCTTGTCTTCTGGATTTACTTGTGTGTGAGTGTGCTGTGTCTCCTTAGCAGGAGGCGAGCCCACTGAGGGCGGGGACTGCCTTTTGTGTTTGGGGGTGTTTATTACATGCTGGTCGGCTGACTGATGGATTGCTTTTAGAGGGCCCTGTTGTCAGGGGCCCCTGTCATCTGCCTCAGTGGAGACAGGGGAACTTTAGAGAAAGGTCCCTTAAACCTGAGCAGCTTCGGCCGGTATGACAGCCCCCTGCAGTTAGTCATTGATGGCCCCAGGCTGCAGTCTTCTCTCTAGTCTGGGAACAAGCCTGGCTTCCTGGCTTCCTCTCTGCTGCCCAGTTAGAGATTCAGCCCAAGGGCCAGATGGGCATGGGGGAGATCCCGAACTTGCCTCAGGGCCTACTGGCCTCACTCTTTTCTACTTCCCCCTCTTTGTAAGCCTCCCCAGCCAGTGTAGATGCCCAGCCCAGATCCTTCCCTCCTTTTTGGCACGGGGAGAGCTCTTTTTAGACCCAGCCCTTTGCCTGTCCTTGGGGCCCCAGCAGCTCCTGATGGGCTGAGCTTGGCAAATCTGAAGCGCTTTGGGGGCAGTTTGAATTCATCAGCTCTCGTCCTTTCCCTGTGCTCGTGGGAAAGTGGGGTCTGAGTCACCTAAATGAGGCTGGACGGTGCACCTGACAGCCATTCGGAGCCATCTCTAGCTTCTTTAACCCCAATTCCTTTGGGGCTCATTTCAGTGCCTTTATGGGTTCCTTCTCGTGGGGTCAGAGCCGTTTGTCCTTGGCCTGAAATTGTTTTGGAAACATCTTCTGTGAGACATCAGCTTCTGGGGTGTCGGATGCATGAGTCCTGGCATGTTGGCTGAGTTTGTGTTTTACCACATTGATTACTGGCACATAAACTTGCCGTTTCGAAATTCAATCTTTTCTATTTAATTTCCCTGCCTCAGCCTTGATTTAGACTCAGGACTGTGTCCCCACATGACCGGTGTCCCTTGTTTCTTGCAGGTCGGCAAAAACATCGATAGATGGTTGTGGATGCTCAGTGCCAGGAGGGTCATGACCTGCGGGGAGGGCGATGGCAATGTGGTGAGGAGCAGGCACGGGAGCCTGGAAGCTGACTTTGCTGCTTGGCAGGCCCGCTTCCTTTCCCGGCTGCAGGATCTAAGCCGTGGCAGCACTGGCGAGAAGAAGGCCTGCCGTAGCAGCCACCGCCGGGGCAGCTGTGAAAAAGGCGGATGCAGAGTCAAGAAGAAGGGCAAGGGCATGGGGGCCAGTGGGGCCCCAGTGGGAGGCCCCCGAGGTACAGTGATCCCTGTGCCCACCCTGCCTCCCTCCCCCTCCCTCCTCTCTCTTTCTTTCTTCCTACTCTCCTTCCTCCCTCCTTCTTCCCTCCCTCTGTCCTTCTCTCTGTCCTTTTTCCCTCCTTCCTTTCCGTCTTCCTTTCTCCTTCCCTCTTCCTTCTTCCCTATTCCTTTCTTCCTCCTTCCCTCCCTCCTTTGTTTTTTCCTCTTTCCTTCTTCTTTTCCTCCTTCCTTCTTCCGTCTCTCTTTCCTTCTTGCCTTCCTCCTTCCCTCCCTCCTTCCTTTTCTTCCTCCTTCCCTCACTCCTTCCTTCATCCCTCTTTCCTTCTTTTCTTTCCTCCTTCCTCTCTTCCTTCCTCCTTCCCTCCCTCTTTCCTTCCTCTTGTCCTTCCTCTTTCCCTTCCTTCTTCCTTCCTCCCTTCCTTCTCACCTTCCCTCCCTCTTTCCTCCTTTCATTCATTTTTCCCTTCCTTCCTCTCTTTCTTTCTTCTTCCCTTCTTCCCCTCCTTCCTTTTTTCTTCCTTCCTTCCCTTCATTTCCCTTCCTCCTTCCCTCCTTCCTTTCTCCCTTTCTTCTTCCCTTCCTTCCCTCCCTCTCCTCTTTCTTCTCCCTTACTCCTTCTCATCTTCCCTCCTTTCTTCCTTCCCTCCTGCTCTTTCCTCCCTCTTCCTCCCTTCCTTCTTCAGATATGCCCCAAACAGCTATTTTGTTTTATGTCATCCATCTGGAAGGTCCCTGAGCAGCTCCCCCTGCCCAGCACCCTGATTTCAGGGTGGACTGAGTCTATTCTGACAGCAAGAACTAGGTACTTTTTCCATTATTTAGCAATAACATAATAATAATGATAATGATAAAGACAACAACAATGACAGCGATAATAATACCCCCCAGCTCCCATGGAGTGCTTTTAGAAAGTCTTTCCAAATGTGATTTCATTTGATCTTAAAGACCCAGAGGGGGAATCTTCTTCCCGCCTGCCTTCATCCGTCACCCCCAGTCTGCTCTCCTTAATTGTCCCTGAGAACCTTTACATCTAATTGCTTTCAGCTCTGAGCATAGTAATGCATGTTCTCTCCTGCTCCATTCTCCCTGAATCAGTGAACACCTGCTGAGCTGCTTCATCGCCCGCCTTGGAAGCGCTTTGCTGTGGGGCTGCTTCAAAGCCCGAGAGGTGACAGTGTTCTCTAACCTGCAGCAGCAAATGGACTTTTGTGAAGTTTTAAGAATCCCGTCTTGCTTTTGTTTCTATGAAGACCCTGCCTCACAGAGAGGGGAGAGGGGCTGCTGGTTCCCTTTTCATTTATGTAGGGGGAGACTGGACTTTAGCATCCAAATGAATGAATGAACAAAAAGCATTTCTTAAGTGCTTACTATGTGCACTGTGCTGAGTGCCAGGAATACCAACCCAGGCCAAAGGAAAGACACCCTGTGCCCTTCAGGAGCTTGCATTCTAATGGGGAAGACCCCACACCTAGGGCTTGGAGTCTGGGAAGTCACAGGGCTGGGGAGGGGCTTGGGAGGCAGTCGCTTGGCACTTTTTCCTGGGCAGTGAGGATGGATGTGGATTATGGTTGCCTGGGCTGGCGGTGGGAGGCAGCCAGGAGATGGGCAGAGGCGTGCCGCCCCTTCCCCCTGCCCACTGAGAACTTGCCTGAAGTGCCATGCAGATCCCCAGGGCAGGGGGCCTGGATTCAAGCTTAACTCTGCTATTTAGCTGCTTGTACAGCCTTGGGCAAGTGATTATACTGTCTAGGCCTCTGCTTCCTCATCTATAAAAGAGGTTATTAGATTTTAAGGATATTTGATGCTCTGATGCTGGAGCATGTCAGATAAACTCTTCTGGCCGTCAGTCTAGATCCAGTAGGGACCACAGAGGCCCTCATTTTACAGAAGAGGAAACCAAGAAAGCTTCTGCCCCCAAGAGAAACAGAGGCTGGAAGTGCCTGCCCTGGAGCAGCTCACTGTCTTCTTGGGGCAGGGAGGCCACATCCCTGGTCAGCCAGAAGCTCCAAAGGCTCCTCCTTTGTCCCAGCCCTCCACCCTGGTTGGGTGCTGGGCCCCTTTGGTTCTTCTGATAACAGAGAGTCTAGTAAGGGAAGGGGAGGTGAAGTTGCCTTGTTCTTTGTGATGAAGCCGAGCCTTTGAGAATGACGTGGCCCTGAATTCCTCCTTGCTTAGCTGGTGGAGTGGCCTCTTCCCTGCGGCCCCTCCCAGTGTACCTTCTTTCTCACTTTGCCAGCCAAGAGGGCTAGGGACACATGGGCTTCCTGAGCTAAAGGGAGAATGTCCCCTCTGTGCCAGGTTCCTTCTCTGGTGTAGGATGCTCTGTGTCAGAGGGCCCCCTTGGCTTCAGCCGGGCCTGAGGTTTCCTCCCTGTCCTCTACCTCTGCCCGTCCTTGCCATCAACAAGCTCCCTTCAGAGATCCCCACGTGGTTGCTTTGGACCATTGGGAGTGGATGGCTTTTGTAGAAAGGGAGCTAGATTTGGAGTGGAGCACCTGGGTTCAAATCCTACCTTTGTCACTATGTTATATAAACCACTGTTAACCTCTCTGGGCCTCAGTTTCCTTATCTGTAAAGTGACAAAGTTGTACTAAATGACCTCTGAGGGCTCCTACGATTCTAAAGGTGTGATCCTGCCTCCTCTCTGGATCTCAGTTTCCTCATCTGTAAAATGTGAGTGATGGGGGAAAGAGCTGGGCTCCATATTTGTGTGATGCTTTCAACCTCTAATCCCTGGACTTGTAATCTCCATTGTGGCTTAAGGTTGAGTTGTTCCTGTCATCTGTCACTGGGGCCTGGGAAGGCGAGCGTTGAGATGCAGAGCCTTTGATGGTTTTTCTAGATAAGACACTAGGAACCAAGATGGCCCCATGGCTCTGGGCCCTTAGTGAACTGTTCTGGTAGACCCACACTGACCCTTTTAAATCCACTGAAGAACTTTATTTGCATGTTTATTGTATAGGAGAAAGAACAATTTGAAACCACGAGTGAGGAAGAGTCGGGTGCTGAAGAGGGCCAGAGCCGCAGCTCAGTGATGGATGTGGAGGATCTGGGCAAGATGATGAGCAGCATGAAGAAGGCAAAGGTACTGGCCTGTTAGCCCGGGGGCTCTGGGTATGGAATTTCATCTCACTTCTGGGCCTCATCTGGGAGCCTCCTTCCTGGGAGCTCAGACCTGGCTGGGTCACTGTCTGCTGGGATCCTCCTCGGGGCTTTCAGACCTCTGTCCTCAATAAGTAGGGTCTCTCGGCTCTGGGAAAATGGGCCTACAGGCTTTGTCCCTGCCAGCTGTAAGGCAGGTAGATATTGGGTAGGGGGCTTGCCTTGGAATCAGGAAAACCTGAGTTTGAATTCTTCTTCATTCAGTTATTGCTATGTAACCTGAGCAAGTCACTGTGCCTCAATTTCCTCATCCATAAAATGGGGATAATAATAGCCCCCATAGTGAAGAGCAGGGGAGATAAACTATGGAAAGCAATTTGGAAGCGTTAGAGTACCAGAGGAATGTTAACCGCCCTTTTAGTCTCTTGGCTGCACTCCGTGTGCTCAGGAACAGTTCCTGTGGGTGGCCATGGGTGGGGGCAGGGAGAGAATGGGCCTTTGGCAGGGGTCCCTTCTGGAGTGGCCTCAGTTTAGTGGGAAGCGGACATGCTTCACTTTTGAGATCAGGAGAGACGTTCATGCTTGTTAGGTCACGCAGCCCATCAGTAAAACATGTTGGAGCACCCACTCCCACTATGTATCCACTGATTTATTGTAGATCAGTGTGTTGTAGTAAAGTGTTCTGTACCTGGTAGAGGGGAAGGGCTGTACTTGTGACTGAATTGGCATAGGGAGCTCCCAAGGGAGGAAACTCTTCTTTGTAGCTTAGTCCTAGAGAGTTGCTCTGAGCACCGAGAAGTGACTCCCCCAGCATCACACAGCCTCGAACCCAGGACTCCTTTGGGTTGAGGCTAGTTCTCTGGACTCTGTGACATTATATTATAAAACCATGGTGTTAGAAAAAATACACAAACAGAAAATTGAAAGGCATAAAATAAAGATAAAGTAAGCAATATTTTAATAATAGTGATTAGCAATAGCTAGCATCTATATATTGCTGTAAGGCAATATTGTCCCGTTTTTATCCTCACGACAATTCTGGGAGGTGTTATTATTATTCCCATTTTACAGATGAGGAGACTGAGGCAGGCAATGATGAAGTGACTTGCTTGATTACTAAGAGCAGTGTAGTTAGATATGCTTTATCGTTCTGGACAGCCTTGGTTTAACCCTTTGTGTTAGAGCAGTCTGAAGCTCTGCTTTCTGCAGTGTTTGGTTTCAGTGGCTGGCGTAGCTGAAAAAGAGAGCACCCGAAGAGAAGCAGACACCAGGGGAAACACTGCATTTGTTAGCCATGCCCCTTGCTTGCTAGAGGATGATATTCATCGTTCAGTCTCATGCACCAATTATGCAAAGGGTTTTGTTGAAATTTGGTTGGTAAATTTCCATCTTCCCTTATGCAGAGTGGTTGTTCTCCCAAATCCATCAGGGGTTGTGTGTTTATATTTTTAACAAACAGTTCAGAACTTCTCAGAATGCTGAATTTGGAAGATTTTTGGATAGTTTTAGCAATTTCTGTTTCCCAGTATAAAGGCATGTCTGTATGCCGAGAGTTTTCAGAGGTGACATATTGTTTTCAGCAAAAAAGCTAAGACGATGGGAGCAGCTCCATCATGTTTTCCCAACGCTCACCCATCGCGTAAGCTTTTCTCAAAAAGCAGCTGCTTTCTTTCTTTCTTTTTTTTTTTACAATTAATTAATTTAATTTTTAGTTTTCAACATTAACTTCCATAAGATTTTGAGTTTTACATTTTCTCCCCCTTCCTCTCCTCCTCCCTCCCGAGACAGTGTGCAATCTGATATAGGCTGTACTTATACATTCGTATTAAGCATATTTTCACATTAGTCATGATGTAAAGAAGAATTAGAACCAGTAGGAGGAACCACAAGAAAGAAGAAATAAAACAAAACAACAAAAGAAAAGGAGAGCAAATAGTCTGCTTCGATCTGCATTCAGACTCCGTGGGTTTTTTTCTGGATGTGGACAGCATGTTCCATCATGAGTCTTTTGGAGTTGTCTTAGATCCTTGCATTGCTGAGAAGAGCTAAGTCTGTCAAAGTCAGTCACTGCACAGTGTGGCTGTGACTATATGCAACGTTCTCCTGGTTCTGCCCATTTCACTCAGCATCGGTCCATACGAGTCTCTTCAGGTTTTTCTGAAGTCTGCCTGCTCATCATTTCTTATAGCACAATAGTATTCTATCACATTCATATACCATAGCTTGTCCAGCCGTTCCCCAGTTGATGGGCCTCCCCTCAGTTTCCAGTTCTTTGCCAAGCAGTTACTTTCTTACTCACTCTTGAATCTTCACCTCTGCCCAGAGGGGACTGATCCCCCGTGTTTATATTTCCTGACTGCTCAGTAATGGCCTGCGGATAGCCCTTCCATACCAGATGAGGTCAGCCACTGGGGGATCCTCAGCTTTTTGTCTAAGAATAGTGAGGAGCCCGTCACGCTCAGACTGACGTTGCTTCTCAACACTGAGCTATGAGAAAGGCAGTGCACCTGCTCGGGTGGCTTCTTGCTGGTTCCTTCCTTGTGGCTGATGGTGAGCGTTAGTGCAATGGTCTTCTTGTGCGCCCGTTACTTCTGTCATCTTTAGTCTGTGAGTCCCTGGCAAGCGCCTTCTTCATCTTCTTGGCCATTTTGTGGGGGTTCATTTAGTTAAAGCTAAATATGTAAATACACGTAGCCAGGCACATGGTATGCTGAGAGGGAAGAGATAGGGTACCCCACTGGCCCCTTGGCTGGCGGGGCTCCTGCTATTCCTCGCGATGCCTCAGGAAACGTACGTGCAGTGTCACTGATGCCTGGGGGAGGGAGGGAGGGTGGGGGCCGGCGGCATGCTGCCTGTGTGTTAGTGCTGTTCTTTTAGATCGAGCAGCACATAAAGGGAAGGGCCAGTGTTTTCTTCCTGTACCCCCGTGGATCTCACATGCACCTGACTCTGGAGACCATCTTTGGAGGCTTTAGAGCTGGGGTGGGCAACCTGCTGCCTCGAGGCCACGTCTGGCCCTCTAGGTCCTCAAGTGCGGCCCTTTGACGGAATCCAAACTGCACAGAACAAATCCCCTGCATAAAAGGATCTATTCTGTAAAACTTGGACTTAGTCAGAAGGCCGCCCCAAAGACCTAGAAGGCCACATGTGGCCTCGAGGCTGCAGGTTCCGCACCCCTGCGTTAGAGGAAGGGAAGAGGATGTGAGGCTGTGGATCTGTGAACTTGGGAGGCCAAGTGGTTTTTTTAAAGGTACATTATCTTTCATCTTTATTAGAGAATGACTAGATGTCTGAGGCAGCCTACAGCAGTGGACTGGGAGTCGGGAAGACCGGAGTTCAAATCTAGCCTCAGACACTCACTAGCTGTGTGAAGGTCACTTAACCGCCGTGTGCCTCAGTTTCTTTATCTGTAAAAGGAGGGTAATAATAGTGCCTACCTCTCAGGGTTATTGTGAGGATTGAATGAGATAACACGTGGAAAGTACTTTTTAAAAAGCGTTTCTCCAAGTGCTGCGTAAATGCTGGCTCGGACAATGACGGTGATGATGATCCAGAAGAGTTTTCTAGAGAAAACAAGCAGGCCTGTGTTCACTGGGCCTTAAGCCGTCTTTCAGACTCTTCTGGTCTCAGTGTATATATCAGACATTTTTAGTTCTAACATCCTGTTTGTTTCCACATATGTATGTATGTGTGTGTGTGTGTGTGTGTGTGATATTTATATATCCCTTTCCTCTCTCTTATCCAAAGAACTGTCATTCCTAACAAAGAATAATGAAGAAAGAGCAAAAATAAAAACCAAAAGCCCGTTCAGTAAAACCAGCCTAAGAACATAGAGTGCTTAGAGAAAGCTCCTTCTCTGACAAGAACTGCTGGGAAGGTAGGTTTTGGCAAGGCTGAGGTTTGGCAGAAATTCAGATTAGGCCAGCATTTTACACCACCTACCACAATTAGGTCAAATGAGTAGGTGACCTGAATGTTAAAGATCACAGCGTCAAACAAGGTAAAGAGAACCAGACCAGGTACCTTTCATTGCTGTGGATAGAGGGAGAATTCTTAATTGAACAAGAGACAGAGGCAATCACAGAAGATGAAGTGACTTCAGCTAGATGAAACTGAAAAGCTGTTGTGCTCCCAAAATCAATGCATGTAGGAAAAGGAGGGAAATGTTTAGTTGGGAAGAAAATAATTTTTGCAATGAATCTGCAAAATGTCCGTATGGTCTAGTAGGGCATAGGTCTTGGAATCAGGAAGACCTGAGTTAAAAACCTGCCTCAGTCACTTACTAGCTGTGTGACCTTAAGCAAGTCACTTAATCTCTGTTTGCCTCAGTTTCCTCATTTGTAAAATGGGGAGGAGCTAGACTCAGTGGTCTTAAAGGTCACTTTCTAAATTGACTATCCCATGATAAGGATCTTATATCCAGTATAGGTGGGGACCTTGCACAGACATGTAAGACCCCAAACCATTCTGTGATACATAGGTGGCCAAAGGAGATGGACTAACATTTTCAAAAATTGCAAACCGTTAATGGCCATGTGGAAGAAGCCTCCAAATTGTTATTTGTAAGAGAAATGCAAATCAGAGTAGCTCAGACATGTCACCCAGCAAATGTGCAGAGGTTTCAAAAGATGGAAACAGTTGTGTTGGAGAGGTTGTGCAAAGCCAGGTGTACTAGTACATGGTTGGTGGAGCTGAAAGAAATCTGGAATTATGCTGAAGAGTGATTAAAATGAAGACTTCCTGTCTGCTTGATTGTTAGATATATGCCCCAAAGTCAAACATAGAAACAAAGGCCAAAAATGCACCAAAATATTTGTGGCAGCTTTTTTTGTAGTTTGGGGAATGGCTAAATACACTGTGCACGTGAATGTAATGGGATGCTGTTGTCCTGTAAGAAATGACTAATAAGGATTGCAGGGATGAATGGGAAGACTTCAGTTGACTAATAAAAAGCAAAGTAAGTAGAGCCAGGAAAACAGCAAT